ATATATATATATATATATATATATATATATATATATATATATATATAGGTGGGTACATTCGATAATATTATCGCCAACTTTCCTGCTGTTATAGTATTTAGGACTCAGAGAACATTAAAAACGTCTTTGAAGCGAATGAAAATGTAAATTACAGAACGATAAGCGGGCGCATATCTTCACGGTTAAATTTTATCGTCCGTAATAATAACCAAGCAATTAGGTTGACATGTTATCGATTTTTTCAGCAATAATTATTGCATGAGTTCCGTTGTTTGTACTACATTAGTGAACAATCTGATTGATAGAAGTTTCGCGGTAACGACAGGAATTGTGTGTGGACGGACGTCAACCACAGCCGGGTGGGCTCGCTGACCTGTATCCTGAGATCTGGGTCAAACGGACCACTGCACATGTCGCAGTTAAACCGAACACGCAACTTCTATAAGTACCTGCCCATCAATAACAAGTTCAAAAACAGCACAAAGAGTCATTACTTTTGCCTATTATGTATGAACGCTTTGAGAATTTAGATATATTTACTTTAGATAGAATGCAAACGTGTGTAAATTTCGTCATTGCATTGGAGCAATAATGTGCATTAAAGGTTGATTTTTAATAAAAAGCAAAGGTATGATAATAAAAATTTAAAACTTTTTGTATTATATCAGTTTGCTGTACAGTTCACTTTTGAGTACAATCTCACCTGATAGAATGTGAAGATATCGACAAAGATGATTTACGTTCAGACAGATCATAATTGCAATGTAGAGCAATTGCCCATTATACCAAAATGATAATTCTGCGGCTTGACACAAGAAGTGAGTATGTAATATGGACTTAGGTACTCCTTGTACCGAGTACCTACAGATACTTAACCACATTTAGACGAATAGTTATAAAAAAACATTTTTCTCTTTTAAGACAGGTTAATTAAATTTCTTTACGGATGCCTTAATCCAAACATTCGTTCAATTCTTCATTAGGGTAGGTAGGCAAAATAGTTTACTCGTAGTTTGGAATGTGAAAGCGCCTATGACACCAAATAATTATACATAAGGAGAAACTTTCAAGCGCAGCAGCAAAAACCGATAAAAATGTCTTCCATAAAAATGTTTCTCTCTAAAGTTGTTCAGTGTCATACTTCCGCATTATCTTAAATAATAATTCCCAATAGGTATATGAGAATAACACCTTTGTTACATCCCGTATATAAGCGTCCACTGAGGCACTACGTATTCTACTTATATAAATTTAGTTTACATGTAAATGTGGCAGGGGCAAGCCCTCTGGAAGTAAACAATCTTGTTGAACAATAATATTTACTGTTCTTGTTTCCGAGTTAGTACGCATTTTATTGACAAACAGAGGATCATGTAAAAGCAAGTTTACGAACACTTTGCGATCAAGAATGAACTTTATATTAACTAAGTAAAGTTGCGTACAGTAGTAGTGTAATTTGAGCTTCAAAATTTTTTAGACTTTTTTTATAATAGCAAGTGATGAACAAGTCATACTCCTGGGGGTAAACCACAAGCTTGTCCATAACAATTGCAGTGCCACTCAAAGCTTTAAAACATCCTGAGACATAAGTTGCTATGTCTCATGTGCCTGTAATTTCACCAGCACCCTTACCCTTCAACAGTGGCGGATTTGCCCTAAGGCCCAGTAGGCCCGGGCCTAGTACGGCCAGATTTTAGGGGCGGCCAATCGTGAAAAAACCAATATAAATATTTTATATAAATCTAAATCCTCCGAAAATATTAAAAACTAACAGTTAACTATTATAGTTAACTAAATTTCTGAATCGATTTCATTAGAAGTTGGTAATACCTAAGGTAAATTCATTACGTAGTCTACCAGTACATGATCAGTGCTGAGAAAGGGGAGGCTGGTACTGATTACGTGGCCTGGGGCCTAGGGCGGCCAAGACTGCAAATCCGCCACTGCCCTTAAAAAGCGAAACGCAGTAATGCTCTAATTACTGTTTGGCGGCAGAAATAGGTAAGGTGGCAGTACTTCCCTGGACAAACTCTTAGGGTCGTATTCCAGAACTCTACTCAATACTCAAGTCAGGACTTGAGTATGATTTCAAGTACTGGAAATACGACCCTAATGGCAAGGACTTGAGTATGATTTCTAGTGCTTTAAATCATACTCAAGCCTTACTTGAGTATTGAGTAGAGTTCTGGAATATGACCCTAAGACTTGTAGTGGACTTATTCGTAACACACTCACATTAAGTTGTTCGTCCAGGCACTCGGCACTACAAAAAAAAAGATCTGGGACCGATAACTGCAGATATTATAATGTTGAAGGCTTTGCGACCTAGTTTGATCAGTTGATTGTGATCTTCTTTTTATGTTTTGTTTTAATAATAGGATAATACGACGAAAATAATAACGTTCGTGGCGTGCAGTGAAGCCCGATGACACATGTGATCAGCTGCAATCAAGTACAGGCGACAACAGGGCAAGGTTAATCCAATGTAAATAACTATAGGTACTACAGGTGCACTGCACGTATAGTCTGTAAGCAGCGTCACAGATACATAGTGCTGTAAACCCTTTTCAAGCGGTATGGCGGGTATAATTACCCGAAACTTTATAGCTCAAAAATTGTTTAAACCAGCTTTTAACTAGTCACAAAAATTAAAATACATATAAATATATAAAATACTGCCTTGTAAACTAGTGAATAAGTTATTGTCCGTGTGTTTTTAGGAACTGCTCAAATAATTATTTTTTCACCTCACTAGCTCAGAAAGGCTTTCTTTCTCATTAGAAATCTGCGCGCAAAATCGTTTTTAGCACGCTAGCGTGGAAAAGGTTTTTGAAATTCGAACTTGACTATAGACTGTGGTGCACCTAACTTTTTCTTTCGATGAAAAAAAAAACAATAACACGTTCAACCACTTCAACTTTGCGATTTGTCGTACATTATTTATGTGATATACCGTCCGTTGGTATATTTTATTGTTATTATTGTTGACATTAAATTGACAACGATAACTAATTTTGTTTATTAAAACTGACTTGCTATAGTTCAATTGTTTTTCTTTCACCTACCATTTTCCTCTCTATAGCGAGTTGAAAATTTGTGTGTTTCGCTCGGCAATAAACTTGTTTCGTGTCTCGTGGCTTGAAACCCTCGCTAACTCGCATCAACGAACAACTTTGCACCCTTGCATAATTGCATAAAAAGACTAAGATTTCAACACTACATTGTTAGCGTAAATTCGGGCTATACACTAGAAGTTATGCACACGCTACAAAACGTCTTAGTGTAGATATTTATATCAAGGATGAGCCGCAGAAATCGATATAGTAATTCAATATGCTCCTATTATTTACATATTCGTATGTTTACCGTTGTTAATCCTAAATGCAATTACTTTACTCATAATTTGTACCGAATTGTAAGTTTCCTTACGAATCTTTGTTCAAAACGTCGTTCATTATCAATACTTACAACATATAGACCAATAATTGGTGAGATTGGTAGTAAGTATTTGTAAGTAAATAGTAAGTGTGTATGTGAGCAATACCTAAGCAGCGCAGCGTCAATTGCATGAACATGCTTATCGCTTTATGTAGACATGAATCGAGCGCACGTTACTATAAACACTTAATTTGTCCCTGAATGTAGGTCGTTTATTCGAGTTTGCCTAGGTAAACTACGTAGTTCTTTAAACGATTGGATCGATACTTGAAATGCTTTAAACTCAGGATTTCTACAATATATTGCTCTATCTCAGAGCAGGTTATTGCAACAGGAAGCTCTATAGAAATTCTCGTGCAGCGTTGGAACGGTGATTGTGATAACATCAATAGTGAACAATTTTTAAATGTGACCTTATTTGAAACTAAGCTATCATTTGAAGTTAAGTCAAACTCAATTGCAGTTATGAATCCAGAAACCAGTAAACGTTAAGTATTTCTCATGAATCTTTTCACGCTAGAACGAGGCGTCTGGATAATTTCATGAGCTTGACAGCGTAAACTATCCTCTTGGATGTAAATCTTCGGTGGTTAAACATATACAATTATACATGTGGCCTCATGTGGCAGTATTTGAATGCACCTGAAATTGCTTGCGTAGTTTATCCGATATCAAATACGTCTGTTGTACATTGCAACTGGCTAAATATAATGTGGATCACAATGGCAGTGTCGTGGTCGCTCAGGAGATTCAAGAGCGCTCGTGACGTCTGGTTCAGAGTCACGCGCGTGTGCCGTTTATTTATAACGCAGCGTATTGAATTGAATCCCTTCGAATATTGAGCTGTCAAAAGCGACAATATCGTGTTAAAAACTTTTCGAATTCAATGCCAAAAGAATTTCGAAGGTGCGTGTGTCGTGGTCGTCAAAATGGATCAATTGTGAAGAAATCGATTAACTCTACTAGGTGCTGTCGAATATATTACATATTTACCTAAATATAAAATAAATTTGACTTTTTTGTTGTCCTAATACCTACTTTGTACGTAGTGAATAACATTGCGAAGAAGAGCGTGAATAGCGTAAATAGCGCAGAAAATAAAAGATCTGAGAAGAGAAGGAATATCTTTACACTGAAATGGAAACCCAACAAGTAGTAACCTTATGCTAGTCTTATACTACGGATACCTTTTGAAAGTGTTCAATTTTAAGTCCGAAGAACAACATAGTAACTATGTTCACAGGTATAAATGCCATTCATTTATATTTTATCAGTACAAGCTCACAATGATTGCCTACCTATTTAACTAAGTTTTGAACATAGGTTTAATTTGCGTTATACCTATTCTAATGTGTATATATTCAACTTTTGGGTTTTGGCGCGTAAGCTCTACGTACGAGTACACCCTTCCTTTCAGAAACTCGCAAAAACGTGGTTAAAGTCATACCTAAGTTGTAAGAAGTTTTTAATCTAAATAAACAAGCTTACCGAGTAAAGCTTGAAAGAGTCGGGACTTGAATATCCTGATGACCCTCTCGATAGCAAGACGCAGCTGCCGATCCTGAGGCTTTACTAGTTTGCTGTGGTAGTCTTCCAGCAGTTCTAATGCTCGGTGGGCCTCTGAAAACGTAGAGACAGTTAATTACGATCTAAATCGAAGACAAAAAGCACAATGCTTTTAAAAACATAAGTGCACTATACCTATACGTAAATAGGTGCCTAAGCGTGTGTGTTGTTAAGATCTTCTAGGTCGATAATACGGAAATTTCAAATCATGAACTTCTTATCAGACTAAATATATAGGAGGTACGTTGAGATGTTCATGTGGACTAGGGTCGAATGTATATTGGTTATTGGTGGTCGTACATTTGAAATTGAAGCGTGATCCGTTTTCAGTCCGTTAGAAATAAGGTCGGCATAAAAATTTCAGTTAAATATGTGTGTAAAATAAAAGATTTGATGGTTTCACGTAGTAACGTAACCGTAACGTATTCAGTCAGAACACATGGGATTGACATAAGAGTGGGCGTATAATGTATTGTGCGTAGAGTGCGCAATTCGAATTACTGAAAAGGATTTTAATAATATACTTAGATCTTATTACACTAAGGCATTAAATGCAGTTATTAACTTTAGTTTAAATCAATAAATTATGTCAACCACGCATTAGGACGTCCGGCAAAAGGTACTCGATCCACTATCGATACCATCAACAGAAGGGTGCTTACGAGGGGTTACCAACCCCTTGTGCAATAGGCACGAAGAGCAAGTCGATAAAAAATACAAAACACGCTCACTGTAGTACACATGCTTAAGAAAACATTATTGTAATAAATTCACCTTGCTTACGAACTGGCATCACGGCACCACCCCCTAACGTAATTTTAGAAACCTATAAATTACACTTTTACACAAAACAAAACGAAAACCTATTTCACTGTGACGTAAAGATGAAGTAGTTCATTTTAAACGATTTTAATCACAGGCGACAGCATTATTAAATAGCACATTTTCACGAAAACATTTGGAAACGAGGTACGTAGTGTGTGCGGTAGTGATTCCGCTTGAGGACCATCGACTACTGTACCCGATGGGATTGGTCGATTTTCACTGTGACGTCAGGGGGTAGGAGCATAGACAATAGAAAATGTAGGGCTGCCATTCTATGAGCAATTTTGGAAAAGACCAGGGAAATTTGTTAATGTTTGGGTTATGATAAATATTTATCTATATATATGTATATATATTCCTGAAGTAAATCCTACCTATTTGGTCCCACGTATATTTTGATTGTTTTTACGCAACTCTGAAAACAGTATTAATATATAGAATTACCTATGTATTTTCATTTATAGTTGTTCTCTACTTAAGTAATAAGTAGTAGGTACCTAAATACCTAATACATATAAAATTTTGCAATGAAATTTAAATACTCATTATAGTTATGTCTTCATATTGCATGTACCTACATACATACATACCTATTATGTGTGGTCTGCCTTTTTTACTTGCGGCAATTATAGCATCACATACGTGAACATCTTTTTATTATTTATTTATTATTGTGCCATCAGAAGGTAAATTGTCGACGCGAGTAGATATTTACGACTATCTGTATAATCCAATCTGTACTACTAACTAACTAAGTAATTGAATAAACTGACTCTAACTTTGAAATTAGATCACAGACAAAACTAATCGAACTACTTTACAATAATTTAAAAATACAAATTATTAATTTCTTTTTAATGATCCGGTAGATGGCTCTGAAATTAAATTGTGAAAATTCAACCGTTCTCCACGTTCCTTTTTACGTTCGTTGATAATGTTGAATAAATTAATATAAAAAGAAGATTTCATTTACAAACTATAACATAAACAAAATTTCAAACACGATAAAAACTATTGATGATTTAAGTTTTTTAGTCAAGTGGCTATTGTATTTTGTGTTTAAATATAAGATGTTGTTTATCTTTCATGTCAATAAACTTTATCGTAAAATGAAACGGAATCGGTATTTGACAAATGGCCTGACCTTGGTTGGGTGCCCTGCGCTGCGCATTCCGTATCCGTGAAGCTCGAGTGTATTGTTCTGTGGGCCAGTCAGTCTTGATTCGATATAGCTACGTAGGCACGTAGAGAATTTAGATAAGTAGTGGTTGAATTCGGTAAATTTGGGGCTCCAAGATGCCTCTATTTGGTAAAAAAGATTTCGGTAGAAAATCGAAGAAAGAAAGTCGAGATTCAGAAAAGCAGCCTTCTATAGAGGACAAGTATGTCGTCAAAGACTTGCTGGGTACTGGAGCTTTCTCAGAGGTGCGTTTGATAGAGAGGAAAGAGGATGGGCAATTGTTTGCGTGCAAGATCATTGATAAAAAAGCCCTCAAGGGTAAAGAAGATTCTTTAGAGAACGAAATCAGAGTTCTGAAGAGATTCAGTGAGAATGCAAAAGATGAAGGTGGTGGTGATAAGAAAATGTTTTCGCATCCTAACATCGTCCAGCTGCTGGAAACGTACGAGGACAAAAGCAAAGTCTACCTGGTGATGGAATTAGTGACAGGTGGCGAGTTGTTCGACAGGATTGTCGAGAAGGGTTCGTACACCGAAAGAGATGCGTCCAATCTAATAAGACAAGTGTTGGAAGCTGTTGACTATATGCACACCCAAGGAGTCGTGCACAGAGACCTGAAGCCTGAGAACCTGCTGTATTATAGTGCAGACGAAGACAGTAAGATTATGATCAGTGATTTTGGTTTATCTAAGATTGAGGATTCTGGGATAATGGCAACTGCTTGTGGTACACCAGGGTATGTGGCACCTGAAGTGTTAGCACAAAAGCCTTATGGGAAAGCAGTGGATGTTTGGAGCATAGGTGTAATATCCTATATTCTTCTCTGTGGATATCCTCCATTCTATGATGAGAATGATGCAAACCTGTTTGCACAAATTCTGAAAGGGGATTTTGAGTTTGACTCTCCATACTGGGATGACATTAGTGACTCCGCTAAAGATTTCATTCGACATTTGATGTGTGTGGATGTAGACAAGCGATATACTTGCAAGTAAGTGGACCACTTGGTTGTACTACTACTCTAAATTAATAGTGTTGTTTTAGAGGGGTTCTTTTTAGAGGCATGTACTGTACAGGTTGTGTATTTTAATTAATTATGCAGATAGATGATAGCTTTAAGAACAGACATATCTGTCTACCCTCTTTCGGTGTCAACAGCCACTACTTGTGGCAATAATTATAAAAACAAAAATGGTTCACTTTTAGTTTCACATGTGAATAGAGTGAGTGTGGTTTGTTGGAAAAAATTGAGTGACAGTGGTAATTGTAAGAGAGATGTCTGTTTTTGTAGCTGTCGTCTGCCGCTACCTAGTTAACCAACAATCATGGAGGTTGTAACCATTCCAATATATCAGGAAAATAAAAAGAGCTACAGTAGTAAGAAACCTGTAATTGGTGTTAATACTCATCAGTAACTTATTACGATACATTATGATACACTTGTCCAAAAAATGCTAATTTACTAAAGCATCACTGTATCCCGTTTGAATGGGCCTACATGGGATATAACTGCTGGTGGTAGGTCAGTAAAAAAAAGTTAATCTTTGTATTCCTGTTCTTTAGGACCTCTCCTACTTTAATAGGTCTCCATTCATTCTATACTCCATTCATGTTTTCAGAAAGTTTTGGGGTCTTTCTCTGAAATGCAGGTTTCCTTTAAATATTTTCCTCCTCCATAAATCTTGAACTTAAAACCTTTCAGCTTTATGAAGTAGTGATTTATAAAGTGGATTTAGTAACTTTTTTAACATTTACCGATTTATGTTATGATACTGCAGTTTTGTTATCAAAGTTTATTTTCTTATAATTAAAGTTCTTTTATTCACTGTGCTGTAGTCATGCTTTTGTTACAAATGCTATTTAGAAATCAAGATTACTTTTGCTTTCAGTACAAATGTAGTCCTTCCAATTTTATACATTTTTATAGAGTACCTACGAAATATTTTTTTTGTGTTTATAGACAAGCTTTGGCCCATCCTTGGATTTCGGGCAACGCTGCTAGTAGCAAAAATATACATGGAACTGTTTCCGAGCAGCTCAAGAAGAACTTTGCTAAGTCACGTTGGAAACAAGCATACCATGCTACAACAGTCATCAGACAGATGCAGAAAATGGCTCTTAGCAGCAGCAGCTCAAGTCGCAGCACTAATGCAAATGCACAGCCCAAACAATAGTTGCCCTCAGGTAGGAAACACCCTAACTACCATCCTCAATCACCTGTTTAAAATTTGTTTTTCATGACAAGATTTGATCTGATCTAACTCTTAGTTGACAGTGTAGTGTGACATTTTTATTACATCGCTACATTGGTTAATTGAAATTCATTGCCGGACTGAATGCAAGCTACTAGATGTGGCTCAGATTTGTCATCACTATAATTGGAGCCATTTAGAACTGTATCTATTTCTAAAATGTCTAATTGGAGCAGTGCTTAATAATAATAATGAATAAGCATATTAGTTAATGATTATAAATCAACGAACTGTTAAATAAGACATTATCGCTAGTCATTGTATCATTCTCTGCTTATTAATATAAATAAATAAAAGTGTTACAAAAATATGTTAAATGATATGATGTTTATAGTAGCTTACAAAGGTTAAATCTGATATATTTCTTATCTTTTATATTATAGTCCGAAATGTAACTTAGATCTGAATTTTAATGTTGAATCTTAAGATCTGATGCTATCAGCAATTTGCACATGACATTATGAACAGTGTATCTATTGTATAATATATTTTACAGATATTTTTGAAACCTATTATCCTTAAAAATTCTTCACTTAACCTTTGAATAATAAGTAGGTAGGTAATATATGTTCTCTTTAAATATACTGACTAATAAATAGTAATGTTGTTCTTAGGTATGGTGATAATCATTCATTACTTATGATAAGATCTGTTGCAAAATTAACTATTGTAAAGTGATAATTTGACAAATTATGATAAAAGTGAAAATAGTGTCATAAGGTATGCTTTATGAGATAGTGAGGACTTTGGAGTGCCGAGCCGTATATGCGAAATCTGGACCAGAAGTTTTGTGGGACTATTTCATTATATGGCTTTATTATATACATTCATCGAGTATATAACCAGAAATAGAGACTAAATAAGGGCCATATAATCATGGTAACACATTAGCGATACAACTCTTATAAATATCAACTTCTGTTTGCACTGAAATATAGACAGGCCAACTAATGACCTGGGTGTATGTCCCCGTATATTCCAAAAAATATTCTTCATTTATTGTAATAAAGATAATATCTCTAACAATGCCGTGCTGTTCTATTTGGTGGTGTGGGAAAAACAGCAAAACATCTAATTACAAAACAAACGGAATCACATTTCGTTGGTAATCAAATATATAATTTTGCAATTTTCGTCCATTATAGCAAAGCTCTAGTTAACTGGTCGATTTGAAGTGAAACAATGGACGACACCCGTCAATTGTTTCGAACTCGGGCTAGCCAATCGGAGCGCAGTTGTCACAGTAATGATATGGCAGAATAGTTTTCAAACAAATTAAATGACATTTTGTCTCTATTTCTGGTTATATACTCGATGTATATGTTATACACATATACTGCGTATGTCCTATAATTTTTTTCATATACGGGATTATTTCATTCACAACAATATTTAAATACATTCCTAAGGGGCATATGTGAATGTAAACATTATGGGAATTGATCTGCTAGAATCAACTGATTATTATTATAGTAAGTTCAAAGTGCAATGTCTCTTTTTCTATTTGTTTGGAGTTGCAATTAACGATACGCCAATACAAAAGCGATAAAGAAACAAACAGTCAAGAGGTATACCTAGTTATGTACAGATCCTACCTAACATCCGAATTATTATATAGGTTTGTCGCATTGTTATTTTATTAATAAAATTGATTGAATTATGTAGTAGAGCATAGCAATGTGGGTGAAATTGTTTGAGGCGAGGCACAGACGTCCAATAAATCGAACTGTAGGGCTATCACGACAGGGCGCGACTTGCTCGAGAGCGACATAAATTGCGAGATCCCTGCGAGAATAGCAGTAGCAGTATCTCGCGCTTTGTGCAAGTCGGGCCCTGTCGTCCTAGCCCTACAGAGGAGTAGGGTTTATTCTGGCGAGAAATTAGGTAGTTAGTCCACCAGCTATTAGGATTTTTGACTGCCCCAACCTTGTCTTGAAGTTAAACATTTAGATTTATATTAACGTATATTATAATACCCTATTTAACCCTTCAGTGTAGTTGTTTTAATAATATTAACAAGTCATATAATATGCTATACTTAGTGTAAGTTTGATCCTAATGTTGAATTCCTTCCTATCTCTGTTATCATATTTAAACCTAATTCAAGTAAGTTAATTTATTATTAATATACCTATATTGCACTGTTGAATTCGATGTTATCATGTAATAATACTCCGTAACTGTGACTTAAATAATTTAAATATGTATTTTATACAATGTAATAATAACTTTGTGATGTCACTTGTGGGCCTAATGCTTTAAAGTTACCAACTGCTTGATGTCTGGCTTGAACATTAGTTATTGTAAAGAATTTATATATATGTTCCATTTTTGGTTTGTCTGTCCTGATTACCTTTTTGTTGGTATGTCCTGATTTAACTCTTTGTTCTATAATTACAAAGCTTGAGCTCAAAACTGAGCACAGGTAGATGAATCTCATGCTTGTCGTAAAAACGGCTTTCTCTTATAAATTGCTCGATATCCATTTCATTCAAACTGCATACCAGTTTTATCCAACATCCTGCTAAGTTTAAACCATATCTTTCCATTCTTCGTTCCAGTTGATCAAATTAATACTGCCAAAGGCGTTAGTCAACGATTATGTACGCAGCTGCCTTTGATCGTAAAATGTTTAGTGCATACATATCCGTTTGCTTCTATTGTTATAAAGATTATGGACGTATAGCCAACGTCATATAAAGCGTAATAAATTGCGCATATATCGCTTTAAAGTATGACTTGCACAAAAAGATTATATTTAATATGACGCTGACCGTTCATTTGTTGCGGTCCGAGATATGGTATAAAAATCGAACCATTTCGAAATTAATTTTTCGATCTATGCTGTTTGTAATTTTAAGTAAGAATAAATATTGATCGATAGCTTTACAATATAATAAATAATATTATGAATACATTTTAAGATAAAAGCAAGAATAATAATATCTTTGTTTATCAATCATAGATTTTATATGATGGGAAATCATATCAAAAATTTTTGACATTCCGTTTTGTCCAATGGATGAAAAAATTGTATTAACATTTTATTTAAACATTCCAATCTTCAGTATTTTCTAAACTTCCGGAATAATAAGATTTTACATAAATTCAGCTATATTTTTCTTTATATTTACTTACATTCCAGGAAGATAAAAAGTATATTTTGGAGCATTTTTAATCTAACATTAGTAATGAGCATTTTAATGTTTTTATCACGTGCAACATTAAGAGAAAAATATCAACTTTGTAGTATATTTTCCGTCCATAATTTTCACGTGTTTTTGTATTGAATATAAGCTTTTGCAAATAGTATCACCAGATGCATATATTTTTTTTAAGCAATTGACGTCTAGTAAACTATTCATTTACTTTAGTTACATTTAAAAATTCAATGGGCTTAAATTGGGAGCCGTTGAAGTAACTATACCGGCACTGTATTTTTATCCATCACACAAAATTACTTTCTTCTATAAATTTTATATTGTGATGTTGTGATATCACAGTGTTTATACTTATCTCCGTAAGGTTTATATAAGAAAGTTTTTAATTTTTTATTGATTGTGATGGGTGATGTTTGAGGAATATACATGAAAGAAAAACGTCAATTCACAAACTATCGCGAGTATTGAATTTGTGTCTTATTCTTCGCTATTAGGTTCCGTTTTTGTTCATTAGAGTACGCGTGCAAATGGAAGATCTATATAAATGGATAATTAGGTCTAGTGCACTCTCACATATTTGCTTGTGCTTGTTATAAATCGTTAGGCGTCGCAATGCTTAATATGTCCTTAATTTATGTAGTTCAATAAATTAATTATTACTGGGTATTGTTAAACGCGCCTTAATAATTGTAAAAGAATTAAATGTAATATTTATACTTACACTCCTTAATACTTTTTTCTAAGAGGTATGTATATTATTTACTTATCACATTTCAATTAATTTATAGAGGCTCGTTTAATTCTAGAGAGATACCTGCTGTTTACGAGGTTTGCGATTCTATTTAGTGCCATTTTAATACAACGTTAATTTTCATTCGTCTGGGATTATTACTTCTTAAGATTTTTTATGACAATATAATTATTTGTTATTTTTAAGAGATGTGAATACTTCGCACAAGTTTAAAGGTTTATTTTTATATAGTTTAAATTTGATTAAAAGTTATAATGTAAATAGCTTACAAGTTAATATGGGCTCTATAAATTAGTCAAAATTAAAAAAAAAACTAAATTCTTTAAGTGCAACTTGTAACCTAACCTAACTAGGTTACTGTACAGCTGTTATAAGTTGCATTTAAAGAAAAGTGTGAAGTTTCACACTTACTTTGGGCCGTTGTTTGGCCGACAAAGAGTTGAAATGAACCTTGTCAAGCTTTACTTGCTCTTGACTCTGTACAAGCTGGCGTAGTGTTTCATTCACCATTCATTTAGACAGCTAACATAAGGGTTTTCTAGTTAGTACTATAGGGTCCATAATTAACTGAGCATATAATATTGTTTTAAGTGGTCGAATATTCCGTGCCGTGCACAAAATGTGTAATCTGAACTTGTATGGTAACCTTGGATCTTGCCATATTTACACCATATAGGTCGTTGCTCTCTTATATCTTCACTTTGTACACTAGTTCAGTTGTTTCGCTGTGCCAAAACCATATCATGATCAGTGATAAAATGTTGTAAGTAAGAGTCCTTAATTTTATTAGACGGTAAATACAAAGTTTATCTATATCTTTTCACAAAATCTAACAGTGTCATACACTTATGACACTGTTAGATTTTGTGAACATCATACAGTTAGCACACGTGTGCTAACTGTATGATGTTCAAGTTCCTTTTCACTCAAAGCTATCTATTCCTTTATCCATTACTGTACTATTAATACCAAGTGTTTGCAGAACACAACACTATTTTTGGAGAGTTATTTAAGCGTATATTATTTTAAATAAATACATATTTTAATTTCTATTTAGCACAATAGCGTAAGGGCTGGGATAAAATAAGTCGACAAGTTTGTTTTTTATACCGAGTGATTTTCTCCGCTATTATGGTATTTGGTTGTGAAAAACATTTTGCTGATGGATTCACTTACATGGCAGAATCGGGAACGTTGCATAATACTGTGGGTCAAGATCTGATTATTACTGAAATACTTACTAATCTTGTGATTTAGATTTTATACTTCTTGTTCAAAACAATCAAAATTTATTAGTAGATTGTTAGATGTTAGCTATATTTTCGATGTCATTGTAAATAAAATGCCAACTTGTTGACATATATCTTTCATTTTTACTCCTTTGATTCCCAAAATTGAAGTATTAGAATAACTTACAATTGAATTAATTTAAAAATTCATAATTTTATATATTACAGTGTATGCATATCTTAAATAATATATATTCGGATGGGAATGTTCACTGTAATTCCTCGCCAAGCAGTGAGAGTTGCTTTAGGAATTGTGAAGCATTGGGCAGCGTTGTGGCACCGTAGACGATCTTACGCGATGTACCGCCAGCCGCTTGTTGCTGAAACAAGGTAATACAAAAACATACATTTTATGTACCTGTGCACGAAAGGAGTCTCCTCACACGAGGTGCTTTTTTAGGCGAGCACCTTACGCCGACTGGCAAATCCTTTCACCACGATGGCAAGCATAGCGTATGCCATCGGTACGACAAGAAGAATGCACCTGATGTTCTTTGTATTGCAGCATAGCGGGTGGTTTGTAGCGTCACCATACCCGATAAATTTGATTAATCAGGTGAAAAGAACCGTTTTAAGTCGGTCGTTTTAAAACCACGTGGTAGTCTAAAGGTTTGACTTGCCACCTCCCAAGCAGAGGGTCGTGGGTTCGAGTCTGGACTTCCACCACTGAGTTTTTTGAATTTATGTGTGAAATTTAATTTGAAATTTACCATGAGCTTTTAGGGGTAGCTACAGCCAAGCCCTCTCATTGTGAGACTATTCAGTAGCAGCAGAGCTCCTTGTGAAAGAGTTCGACCTTACTGCCACCTTACCCATTCTACCGCCTAGCACTGATATGGGCATTACTGCGTTCCGGTTTATGAAGGGTATAACGGTGCGCTGGTGAAATAACACGCACATGGGACTTGTCAACTTATGTCTCAAGGTGACAGGCGTAGTGGTAGTGCTCCTCAGACCTTTGCGATTTAAAGCACTGAGTGGTACTGCAACTGTTATGGACAGGCGAGTTACTTACAACCAGGTGGGCAACTTGTTCGTCCCGTCACTTGGTTTCATAAATAAAAATATTGAAAACCACAAGGCTATTTTATTTTCCAATCTGGCGCAAGCTAATTCTGGTGGCATCGTGGCAATTTTGAGAACCACAGCATTTCACTTGACTGCGCTAAAAAAAGTCGCGATTTAGATAGATTTACAAAAAGGATTAAATCGATAGGACATTTAAGTGCGCGCTGGGATAACCTTATTACGGAGGAACATTTTTTCAATCTCTGGAACCACTGCATCTAGCTTAGAGCTGATTACACCTAAAATATCATAGTTTATTATTGGCCGCATAAAAATAGACAATAGTTTGTTCAGAAAATACAATATCATTTCAAATTTTGAAAAAAGATATACTTCACCACGAAGAAAATCTTTTCTTTCAATTATTTGATGCTTTGAGAGTCGCTAAAAAAGAGAAAGGTTTCTCTACACAGGTTTTGTCTTACAGGTTTTGTCATATTGAGGCTCCAATACAGTCGATAGGTGGTGTGATGGTCGTATGTCGGAATGGCGAACGAATTAATGGAAATAAATGTGTTATGTAAATTGAATGAGAAGATTAAATATGGTTGAAATTTTTTCCAAATATTTTTGTAAAGTGGTACAGCTTGGCAATCCCACAAAGAACAAGCGGAAATGAAGGCATCCACAAATTTTCTATAATATATCACGAACTAATGAGTTTTCTACATAATTGACATAATATACTAGTTCTAGAGATCTAGACTTTTGCGACTAGAACCTGACCAAACATGACCTTTTCTAGCACGACTATAATGGTATTGTGTCGTGGAATAATTTCCATTTTGAAAAATTCATATATTTCCGAAAATAATTAATGTATTTAGGAATATTTTTCCTATATTTTTTGTATAACTGCCTCCGTGGCCGAGCGGTTACCATGCCGGACTGTCACGCAGAGGTCCCAGGTTGGAATCCCGGACCGGGAGGAATATACTCCCAGACACATAATTGGAGCCACCTCGCATTTCAGTATTAAATGGTCTAAACTTAAACAATGTTTGATTGATCAACAACTATTAAGCAATTTTGAAACTACTATACTAAACGTGTATTCCATACATCCTTATTGGAAAGTTGAATTTTCATTTTTGTTTACATTTATGAATTTCGGTGTAATTTGTGGTTGTCTATGTGTGTGTCCATGGCACCCGCGACACAGAGTTTCCCTAGTGCGGGGCTATGTTGAGTGTGTGCGTTATTTGTTGTATGTGTTTTTTCCACATTTGACAGAAGTTGATGATAACGAACGAAAACGATGGAGTCATTACAAAGAGTTTTTTTACTTAAGATTCCTTTTTTAGCTGTTGTCTAATCATTTTAAATCTCGTTTTACTCAAACTTGCACGCTAAATAAAATTTCAAAAGATTTATTTAAACGTAGAATACAGTACGAGACTTTGAATTATATTTTTCCAAATTTTCAGCAATTTACACGTAGTGTAACGCCATACAAGTGTAGTAGTGCGGCTTGTATGTGTGCATCCGTCGCGCGTCACGTACGGACGTACATATTTGCAAAATCTCGTGGTGCACTAGCATCACATAGCGTAGGTCGTCATACGCACCATTCATTATATGTAGAATTGAAGCGTTCGCTCGGTGTTTAAAAAAATTGCATCAAATAGTAGACGTGTTTATTGTTGGGTTTATAGTTGTTTGAACGAGAGTTCCTTAAATTCAGAATTGTTCAGTTCATTTTTATATTTCAAAATCATACTCTTATAATCGAAATACCAACCCGCGATACTGTTATAAAATATAATATGCGCTACACAACCACGCCAATTGCCTGGTCTCAAACTAGGGAATTCCCTGCACAAAACCTAGACCAAAACCAATTTAGAAAAGTTTATTTCAGCTAAGGGACGGAGGTCCCTTAGCTGAAATAAACTTTTAAACTAACTAAATAAACTTTAAACTAATAAAATAAACTAAATAAAATAAATAATAAAATAAAGTTTTAAACTTTTAAACTTTTGCATTGTACCTACAATGCAAACCGTTAGGCCCACTGAGTGAGTCAGCCCCGCGGCAACGCCAACACTGGTGGGGGCCTGAGCTTGAGAGGCTATGAAGAAAGGTAAGGAGACGCTTCAATAGAGCTATGAACACATGCGCGGATGAGGACAGGGATAACTACAAGACGGCCAAATCCAAACTAAAAAAGTCATGAATAGTATAGAAGAGTGTGAGCTAGGTTCAATACGCAAAATAGACAACACATACACAACTTCTTCTGTGGAAACAGAGAGAACCCTACTGGAAGCACATTTTCCAGGATGTAGATTCGTTCAAGATGACAGGTGCGAAAAAATGAACTACGACACATCGATTCATAACTGGCGATACACTGAACAAGTAGTAACATACGAAAAGATAAAACGGGCATTAAACACCTTTGAACCGTACAAAGCTCCGGGCCAAGCTGGAGTATTTCCTGCACTCCTACAATGGGGCGTGGACACACTGGTCCAGTGCCTGGTTTACGTCTTTCGGTCCTGTCTAGCATTCAGCTATGTGCCCCACAGCTGGCGAGAGGTAAAAGTCATTTTTATACTGAAACCAGGTAATAACGACTACACTGACGCGAAGTCCCAGACCAATCGGCCTCACATCGTTCTTGAAGACATTAGAGAGGTTATGTGACAGAGAACTAAGGGATGGAGCGCTTAAGAACATACCATTACACGGAAACCAACATGCATACTGCCAAGGCAAATCCACTGAATCGGCCCTACATGCCGTTTTGGGCAAGATAGAAGTGGCCTTCAAAGACAAAGCAATCTGCCTAGGCTCCTTTATCAATATTGAAAGAGCCTTCGATAAAACCAACTTCTCCAGCATACAATCAGCAATGAGAAGACACGAAGTGGATGAAATGCTAATCAGCTGGATTAGCAACATGCTAAAACAAAAAAAAAACAGCAAACGAGACCCCATGGGCCATAGTAGCGAAGGGGTGCCCACATGGAGGGGTACTGTGGCCTCTGCTGTGGAACATGGTCGAAAATTACCTCATCATTAAATTAAACAAAGAACATTCCTATACAGTAAGATAATAATATGCGAATGACATAGCTATACTGGTAACAGGTAATTATGCCAATACACTGCGACATTACACAAGCTGCACTCTGGATTGTGGAAAGATGGTGCAGAGCATACGAAATGTCGGTAAACCCAACAAAAACGGAACTAGTCATGTTTACAAACAAAAGACTACTGGGTAACTACCTACTACCCAAACTCTTCAGTACAGAACTACAGTTTTCAACCGAAGTCAAGTACCTGGGAGCAATACTGGACAACAAGTTGAGCTGGAATTAGCATCTGGACAACAAAATTAAAAAAGCTACTATCACATTCTGGCAGTGCCATAAAATGGTAGGTAAACAATGGGGACTTTCACTCAAGATAACACTATGGCTCTACACAGCGGTGATAAGACCCATGATCAGTTACGGCGCGATGGTACAGTGGCTACGAACCAAACTGACGACCGCAACCGACAAGCTGGACAAAATTCAAAGACTCGCTTGCATGGCGACGACCGATTGCATGAGGACAACTCCAACTGCGGTCCTCGAAGCGATGCTGGACCTGCGACCCCTCCCACTGTACTTCAGACAGAAAGCGGCGTCAACAGCAGTGCGTTTAAACAGAGCCGGTCTTTGGAAGCACTTGAGGATTCCGCATACAGAAATCCTTTATAACACTGTCAATGAGGAACTGCTACTGGAGGCGGCTGTGGATAGGATCCCAAAACAATACATCTTTGACAAAAAATACAAGATACAACTGTTTCAAGATCCCAACGAAGGACTGAACCCCATAGGGGTCCGCGTCTTCACTGATGGATCAAAAACAAATTCAGGAACAGGTGTTGGGGTATTCTCAGAAGACCTCAATATCAAACACTGCTTGGTGACCACAGCACACACAACAACACCAACCACCACCAACACTCCACCAACAACACAGTATTCCTGGCTGAATGCATGTGTATCAAGTTGGCGGCAGAAGCATTCATAGCGAGAAGAGTAAAGAATCACTCCATTCGAATACTCTCCGACAGCATGTCAGTACTGAACAGGTATGACATAAACTCAGGGCTCATTTATGAATGCCATCATGCACTCATGGAGGTATGTATACACAACCACGTGACTCTACAGTGGATTAAAGGAAACAGCGGCTCACGTGGCAATGACGCAGCAGATGAACTAGCCAGAAAAGGGTCGGAGACGGACGCTGTAGGACCAGAACCCTTAGTGTCCCTCCCCTACCAATAGTCCACAACAACTATACACAAAGGTACAACATTTTCACATAATAACACATGGACCACCCTGACGGTTTGTAGACAGGCGAGGAAGCACTCCCAAAGCTTAAAGTCAGTATCTCGAATATTAATTAAACTCAAAAGGCAAGAACTTCGCACTCTAACTGCCGGTCTAACGGGTCATGGTCCATACAATAAACACCTTTTCAATTTAGGTATCATATACAGCCCTCTATGCAGAGCGTGCATGGAGGGGGAGGAAACGGCTGCGCTCATCCTACTACAGTGCTCCGGCGTGGCCAACTACAGGGCGAAGTACCTTGGAGTGCCGAGGTCACTCCCCGAAGTCTTCAGCAAACCGAGGAGGCTGCTGACATTCCTGGAGGAGCTTGGGTGGCATGAGTAGGCCCCTGTACCCACCACACGCAAAATAGGCGCCTTGATGTCGAGTTGCGGACACTACCCCGTTACACCAAGTACTGTGTTGAACACTTTAATTTTCTCAAATTATGTTTACAACCTGTAGATGCAACTAAAATAATAATGTGATATCCTCAGTGCAGGCATTGACTCGCCAAACAGACGGGAGTTGCTCTACTTGTCGTATTATACTATGGCATTACGGTGATCTAAACATTTTGTCGGTGAGGTAATCTTATTTCACGTTACCTTGGCAAAATCGAGGAGATTGTGGTACTCAATGTAATTCCCACCACCGACGACAAAAACGACGGCATCAGTAGGCGGGGGGTGTCGTTGAGCACGTGAGCGACCTGCAGCGTCAGTGCGGGCAGTTCGAGGGTCCAACCACGTCAGCTCGGCGCTACCTTCGCCCCCGCTGCCGCCAAGGGCCACTTCCACTGCGCGAGACACTGGCAGTTTCTATGGACGGCAAAGTAGTTATCTTATTTACACATATTTTTAGCAAGTCGTAGGTTGATAACTCTTGGATTAAAATTTACTGGACAAGATAGTTTTGTACAACTGTAGATTAAAAAAAATAAGTTTAGATAATCATACTTACGTGTTTTTTAACGACTAAGTTCTTGACTCCTTCCATAACGAACGATGATCCTTGCGATACCAGTTTGGAGAACATAGACACTGTTTTCGTCCCTCCGCCTTCGTACTGGTTAGACATTTTCGTGAAGCCCCTGCGCAATAACAAACAAAAATTGATCTTACTTAAGTCAGGTAACATTGACAATTAGGATGATATAATAATATAACGATAACATTCTCATTTGCTCGAGTAAAATCCGTTGAGCCATCACAGAGAATCCATTTTAACACGCCAAAACAAGTATGTATGTAAACATTATGTAAATAATAAGAAACCGACCTCAAAAGTTCGTGGAATCACATCTATTTGCCAAGTTTTATTAAAATATATTTGCCAAGTTACCGGAAAGTGCGCGTACCGGTTTTATCACCTAGTTTGGCACCCTTAGAGGTGGACTATTTTCTTAAAATTAAAGGTACCCTCTTTCCAACAAAAAAGAATCATCAAAATTGATTCACAAAAAGTTACATACAATTTTTTTTTAATTCCCCAAACATTACTTTTTCGTTTAGTAGCAGTATCGATTCAACGTGCGATATGTCCGGATTTTTGGCTTAGGGTATCAATTTTGACAATAAAATAAAAAAAAGTATAATATCCACCTCGCAATTTTGTAGTTAAACACGATTTACTCTAAATTTTGTTGCCCGAGCGCTTTCTTGCGAATGTCAGGTTTTTTGTCCAGACTATTGAAATTTCGGGATGGTAACCCTACCATACCCAGCAAAAGTAAGTGAGAAGGTTGTGTAAAGCAGATACGTTTAAATTGTACAACTTACTTCCATCTCTTCATATAAGCCATAGGTTTCACATCACAGTTTGCTGCAAGGAGGGCGTTTTCAAACTTTTTATACTCCTCTTCAGGTATTTGTGTCGAGCACAAGTAATAAATTATGAACAATCGCATTTTGTCTTCAGGAGTACCAGCACTAGGTTCTGCGATTAGGTCTATGACAGCTTTGGATTCAACACTGCTACTTTTACTCATTATTTTTTCTTCTAATTCGAAGAAAGAATCCAATCGCCGTGATTTAATGGCGTTCAGAATTGCTGTAAATAATATAGTAGTATTAAGCAGCAGCAGTGGGATGTATATGGATTGATGTAAGGTGTTGTAATAGAATAGAATAGTGGAATATTTTCATAAAAAATACTCCGCTAGTTTGCTATTATTATTATTATTATTATTATTGAAACAAAGATCGAACAGTCACAAACAAAAATTCTAGAATACGCAACAAGCACATAGAGAAATTAGTAAAATCTGCTGACTTGATCTGTAGCTCAGTTGTTAAGAGAGGTGGGTCCGGTGTGGCAACAGACGTTGGTTTCAGTCCAGTAACATCGAAGGAATTTTTCTTTGTGTACGTTCGATAATTGTCTTAATTTGTAACAGATTTCAGATTTTTGTTTTGTTGGACTGGATGGTATAATGATTTTGTCCCGTAACATGGTGCTGCGGGGTACCGTGTAGTATGTCAACTCAGCATTTTCCTTTACCAAAACTGACGAAAGGCAACACTTTCAATTACATTTCCCGCCCTTATCCCATTCATGTAGGCAGAGATCACAGTCGTCCACTTGCTACGATCTTGACGTACCGGATATGATTTAGAATAATTTATTTCTATAAAATGTTTTAGTGGACTATGACAAGGCTAAAATTAGTAAATTAGTTTTAAGTATTAATTAGTAATTACCCGTAGCTATAGTAGTGTGCATGTCAATGAGCCGTTTCTTCTCCATAAGCTGTGGCAAGGAGTTGACAGCACTGGTAAGGCGTTGTGTGTTATCGCTCACCAAGCTTAGAGCGAGGTCGCTCTCTGCATCTAAGCCCATGGAGCTTTTAAGCTTCTTTACTTCTGCTTCTGAACTCCTATAAATTTTTATAAAAAAAGCCATGGGTATTTCATACGGTTCGACTACCGAAAATCTACTGATATATGATTTATTAATGACTCAACCGTGACTGCTTTCTAGCTGTAAGCGGGGTCCCTAAACAGCCCGTAGTTCTGTCAGACTGACGGCATAAGGGCATTGAGACGATTGCAAATATAACCACCTCCGATATGCATTGTAGGTGTACCCTTTGAAATATCTTGAATTGACCCTATACAACTTCTATTCCCTAATGTACTATGGTAAGCACATTGTAAAGTAGGTGTTCTTGTAACCGCCATGTTCGATAGAAGCGTCGAACTACAATCTAACACAAGATGACTCACATTGTGATTCTTTCCAGAAGATCAAGGGAAAAACGCAGGTCACGTTGGAAATTATATCAGGTCGAATATAGAATTACTTTAATGGAAAGATTTTTTTTTAAAAAAGTTAAAACTCTTTGCACCCTAATTTTAAAATCTATGAATATGTTTTTATAAAACTTAAAAAGGGAGTATGGCTAGGGAGTGGAAATAATTTGAATTTTGCTTCCACGCGCTATGGAATGTGATTCCCTGCCTTCAGATTAGTTCCCTGAACAGAATGTACATGTAATATGGGCATTTTCAAAGCGAGAGTGAATAGGCATTATTTAGGTGTGCATGCTCCATCGTCGATCTCATCGGCCCTTTCCATCAGATGAGATTGACGAATGCCGTGGTCGAGTGGCTTGCACACCGGTTTTCATGGTGACGCCATCTCTGAGGTCCCGGGTTCGATTCCCCGCCAGGTCAATGTACAAAATAATTTTTCTATATTGTCTCGGGTTTAGGTGTTTGTGGTACAGTCGTTGTTTCTGATTTCCATAAAACTAGTGCTTTAGTTACTTACTTTGGGATCAGAGCAACGTATGTGATGTTGTCTAATATTTATTTATTTATTTGAGATGGAGGTGCGCATTTAACGCACTTAATTTTTTAATAAAAAAGTTCATTGTTATTGGACGAGGCATTGGATGTTAACGTGGCGCGTCTAAGGGCCGCAACTAAGCCTGAATTAGGAGTGTGGTAGCAGGCATTGCCTTCTCCCCATTTAGGCACTCTGCTAGATAATGATTAATTGTGAATTACCGTTGCTTTACGGTTAGGATGTAAGGTTTGTGTACAGCATCACTGCATTTGTGGGGTTGAGGATATCGGTGGTTGACGAAAACGGCCACCACGGCATTAGTTGTTAGAAGTGCGCGGGGTGGCTTTCAAGACATCATGCAATAAATGATTTAGTTCGCCGGGCTCTGATATTAGCTAACGTGCCTTCTGTCTTGGAGCCTCCGGGGCTGTGCTGTACCGATGGGAAGAGACCTGACGGCCTTACACTGGTTCCATGGCAGAAGCTTTTCTTTAGTTTACACCGTCCCACCTGAGTAACACCACCAGACCTGCCGGATCAGCTGCAGAGTATGCGGCAAAATTCAAACATGCCAAGTACAGTGCCTTGGAACCGGTGTACGATTTTGTGCCAATTGCAGTGGAGACTGCGGGGACTTGGGGTGCGGAGGCCAAAGATTTAATCAGGCAGTTGCGTCGTCGGCTTCCACGCTATGGATCTTACTTGGTGCAACAAATTTCGTTGGCTATTCAGCGCTGTGGTTGCCAGTGTTGTGGGGACGTGTGAACCAGCTAAGATTCAGAGCGGTCCTTTTTCATTGTACTAGTTGGATAAAAATGGCCAAGTCTGGCGAATTGCATTGTTAAGTTTTATGTGACGAAGCCTGTTGCTGATTTATATTTGTGTCTTCCTGATGAAGCCTACGTTGCGGATTGCCGTAATTATGTAATTAATTTAATTTTTAAATTAAATTAAATTTAAAGTCATTATTTTTCCAGAAAATCGGAAAAAACACTACGTCATTCGTTCTTATGTTTATATGCTAATGAACTATTGTTATACATTTTGAAGAACAATGATAAGGATATGAAATTGCGTATATGGCATCTTTGTCGTTTAATCATCGACTGTGGGACACCCAAAACTCAACGATAATCTGGGCACAGGATGTTGCCTACTTTGTAACAACCCTAAAAAAAAAATTTGAAAAATCAGTGTCATGTTTTTTTGAGATATAAGCATTTTAATGAAAAATGTTGAAAATGTACGACCTGTACACCATTTTTAAGAACTACAATTACCAATTTGGTAATTTCGCTGGCTGTTCTAGTTTTTGTAACGGTAACCTAAATAGCCTAAATAGAAAACCCGAATTGCTAAAAAAATATTGTATTTAATTTTTTTCTTGACATTTTTAGCAGATTTTTTTCAAGGTACTTTGACACCCCATACTGTAAAAAATATGTACCTAGACTACCATGGCAACTACTTACAAAAGTTGGCGCAACTAATCAAGATACTAAAATGATATAAAAACCTTCCACGTCATGCTTCTTGGAAAAACATTATCTTGGTTTTTCTAAAAAGAGGCCAATTTAAAAAGGTTACCTTTTCTAAGTGAAAATGGCTCTGTCAAAATGTTTTAAAATCAGTTGTGACCTTGGTCTATATATCTAGCTATGGTCGCAGCGCTCGCGATGATACAAAAATGTGATGTCACGGTGCATGCCATATTAGCTATTATGATGAAATTTTTAAATGCAGGTTTATCACTGGAATTTGACAACACGATAAAATCCATTTAATAGGTATTTGCACACCAACCCATTATCATGACGTTTTGGCTAGGAGGTCTACTCTCTTTCAACAAAACGAAACTTCGCAAGCGAAACAAATTTAAACGAAGTTTAGTCAATGACTCTAATTCATTTTCGCAAGGAGTTTGGTACTTTTAAACAATTTTCATGAATGCATAGAATGAACAATATTACGTAGGTCGGTTTTTGATGTCAACTACGGCAATTACGGTTTTTACTTTATCTTAAAATTAATATAATTGTTTGACTTACTTTTAAATTTTACATTTAATATGTGGTTCACTATGCATTTCTTGTAATATTCAGGCAAAAATATTATTCTTGCAGTCATTTCAATAACATTTTTAACAAAATTTACACTTACGAAATTCAAACTTGCAGTTCTAACTCATTCGGACGTTTCATGAATAAGAGTAGATTTGGAAAATCTAAACGCCAAATAATTTTTGTGCGAACAAAATTTCGTAACGAAATAGAACCGTTGTAAGAAACGTGTGAAACTTAGATCAAAATTTAGTTTTTCGTTGACTTGAGTAGACCCCCTGGTAGTACCGCCTGCACGTGCTGATTTTCCGAAGGATTAGGCTTCGATTATACCTGTATTTGTCTAAATCTTCCTGAATAGCCTCAGCGACAGTTGGGAACGGACTGCCCTTATGTTCCATCCAAAGTGGATCTTTAGAATCCAAGTCGCAAATTCTGGTTTTCACCTTCTGTCCGGGTACTAGCGCCGCACCGGAAGTTTCGGGTACAACTGCCCTAGAGATATAAAAAATGGACATATTAATATTATGAGAAAAATATTAAATAATAAAGATATGCATTTACTCTTATAAACTAACATTGTATTTCACAAAACACAAAAATAACAATAAGCTTAAATTAAACTGGACATTGGCGATGATATTATTTACATTATTTTTACAATATATTTATAATTACTAAGCGATACTGGTGAAATACTTAAGGCACCGCCAATAAGCAAAAGGAAGAAGAATAAACAACACAAATAAGTTTGCATTTTCTTACATGGCGTCTATAGTTTAAAGTTATTAATAATATTATCAGTATACACTTGTGTTGTTAATAAGTTACTGGCTACTTATAACTGAATAATCAAAAATTTTAAGCGACACAATCGCTATTTAAACTATGCACTGCACTTCACATAAAATAAAAGATGAATATATCAATCATTAAAATAGTGAATAAGTTAATTCAATACGCCGTAGTAGAAAAGAGAAAGTTAAGAAATTAAAAAAAAAATTAGAAAGTTTATTTTTCTCTAAGGGATATCTAAAAAAAATATTATGGCAGTTGATCGGCAGATAAGTTATAAAATATCTACGTTTCATCAGCTATCTAACAAGGTATAACAATCTAGGATTTGTATTGCATTTCGTGGAAAAACTTTTTTTTTTCTCGCACAGTGCGTCTTAACTTAAGGACAATAGGCGCGGGACCGTTAGAACTGCTACGTGGAGCATCCCAACTAAAAGTCTTGTGCGAGTGAGACAAGCGACGGTTTATGTAGGTGCGAATGAAAGAAAAAATATTGTAGAGATATCACGGGATATTGTTTTGTTTGTCAGTCTGCTTTTGTGCTTCGTACATAGTAGATGTGATATCGTTTTGCTCTTTTTCTTGACTTGGCTGTGATTCTGGACTGTTTTTTCCGATTTGTGACTACTGTGCTTGTTAACCGGACTTTGATTTGTACTTGTGCTACGGAAGTGTTGAAGATGACGTCGTACACACCTGAGGAATATGCTGATATGCTTATTTGTTACGGATACTGCGATTGTGTGTCTGCGCAAGCTCGCAACGAATACATAGCTCGATTCCCCGGTCGTCGAGTGCCGGATGTGGCTGTTTTTGACAGAGTTTATCGGAGACTTCGAGAAACTGGCTCTATTTTGAGACGAAATACAGACATGGGCAGACCACGAATTAATGACGACGAAGAACAGGACAATGAGATAGTGCAACGCTTTCGAGCGAATCCGACTACTTCCACTAATATTTTTGCCCGTGATCTGGGACTTTCGCAATGGAGTGTGTGGTTTACAGTGCATACTGCTGGCCTATACCCGTACCATTACACGCCGGTACACACTATTGAAGAAGGAGACCCCGCGAGAAGGTTGGACTTCTGCAGATTTATGCTAAATGCTGACGTAGAAGACCCAGATTTTCTACGAAATATCTTGTGGACAGGTGAATCCAAATTTGATAAAGATGGCATAACTAATTATCACAACGCGCATTACTGGGCCCCAAAAGAACTTAGGAATCCCAATAAGAAAAGAGTGAAGGGTTCCCAACGAAGATTCAGCGTGAATGTGTGGATGGGTATTATCTCCAATCATTTGATTGGACCTTACTTTCTCCCGGACAATCTAAATGGGGAAAGTTACGAAATTTTTTTGAGAGGAGACTTGAGTGATTTGCTGGATGATCTGCCACTCAACTTGATCAGGGACATGTGTTCCAACATGATGGCTGCCCTGCCCATTTCAGGAGAAGTGTCAGAGCCTGGCTGGACACAAATTATCCAAACAAATGGATAGGACGAGGTGGGCCATTGCCATGGCCAGCAAGAAGTCCGGACCTAACCCCCATGGATTTTCATGTGTGGGGGCGCATGAAAAGTCTTGTCTACAGCGAGTCAAATCCAGTTTCGTCTGTGGAAGAGTTAAAAGAAAGGATTGTGGATGCAGCAAATCAAATGAGGACAACGTTGACCACTGGAGTAGTGAAGACTGGTCTCCGTAGAAGAATGCGACAATGTATTAGAAACAGAGGCGGCCATGTTGAACATGAACTGTAGAATAACAAAAAGTTGTGTGAAAACCTGATTTAATAAATACTTTGCATGCTTACCTATTGTTTTGTTATACTTTTAAGGGCTAAGTATTAATTTTCTCCTCCACTATCGCCTATGAAACCAAGTTTTTTCAATGCATTTAAATAAAACCCTAGATTGTTATACCTCCGTGCCGAACGGTTACCATGCCGGACTGCCACGCAGAGGTCCCAGGTTCGATTCCCGGGCCGGGAGAAATAGTTGTATGGCCTACAATTATTTCTCTCGTGAGTTTGGGTGTAATTTGTGGTTGTCTATGTGTGTGTCCATGGCACCCGCGACACAGGGTTTCCCTAGTGCGGGGCTATGTTGAGTGTGTGCGTTATTTATTATTATTATATTATACCTTGTTAGATAGCTGATGAAACGTAGATATTTTATAACTTATCTGCCGATCAACTGCCATAATATTTTTTTTAGATATCCCTTAGAGAAAAATAAACTTTCTAATTTTTTTTTTAATTTCTTAACTTTCTCTTTTCTACTACGGCGTATTGAATAAACTTATTCACTATTTTAATGATTGAGTTCCTAAAGCATCTTATCACACATGTAAAAATGCAATAATTATAATAAGACACACAAAATAAACAAAATTAAATTTAGTAGCCTAAAAATCGATAATTTTGAATAAAAAAAATAAAAGTCAAATATCTCGAAAAGGGTTAAGTTTAGGGTAGGGTGTTTCATAGTAAAATAAGTCAGAAATGATGAGTACTCCACGCCCTTAACGGATCTAGCACGACTTTTCCTGTAACCCTGTATATACATCGTTTTTGTCAATGCCTTCTAAAAGTATAAAAACAATAACCTGCACAAAAAACATACCTATTCAAAGACAAATCTAGCACATCGTGCGCTAAAGCCTGGTATGTCCAAGTGTGATGTAGAGGGGTGGCCATATCCATATTTCTATCCAGCAAGATGAGCATGGGCCGCGTAAAGCTGAAGGAGCCAGACTGGCCAGTGTTTCCATGGAAGAGATTATTTCTAGCATCCCATAAGTTTTCTCTTAACTTCTTGTCTAGCTTTTTGGCAACCATTTCTGCAGCATTGCCTTTACTGCTTCTTATTATAGGAACATTACCTAAAAATTAAGAAATTAAACTATTTTATCTTGCTTATGACAAGAAAATTTTTACATGGCTCTAAAAAACCATCTTGAACTGAACTAATTAATTTCCAAAATGTATCTTTGTTATGTACTAAATCTTTCCAAGGTTACCTGTACATAGACCTTACAAAACTCGGAATCATAATCATCATCAAAATCAATTTTACTTACCCAGATGACACTCTGTGACTGTGTGTGAGAATGACACTTGGATCAGGGGGTCTACTCTTGATCTCCATCCGACATCCGTCCGAAACAAATACTGCCAAATAAGCAATACTTGACCAAATGAAACGACGCGTGATACGAATCAAGATTCATACTGGATACTTGTTTCTTAATTTTGTCGAATATTACTTATTTGACAGCAATTGTTTCGGACGGATGTCGGACGGAGATCGAAAGTAGCCCCCCAGGGTTCGAAATTATCAATTTTTATTTAATTGAATTATCCAATAATTATTCATGTTGATTCATAGTTTGGTCACTTAAATTTTTGACTAAAAATGGCAAAAAGTGAAAAAATCTTTGGGAAAACCCTTAGATGATGGAAAAAAATTATGGGAAAAAACCATTTGCTTCATATTTTATTTGACATTGACATTTGACATGTTTGGATACATCACTGAAACAAACACATGCCACAAGGTTGTTAGCGGTAGCATTTTGTTGTTCTAATTAATTTTATATAAATATAAAGCTAATTCATCATCAAGGTATATTTATCAAGAAAAGTATTGTGATAATTTTCAATGATAATTATGACTTTGCATCCTGCTTGAAATTGTCACATTAATTTAACAGTACTAATTCGTAAAGATTCCTCTGGTAAGAATGAGTAAGAAACTGGTTTAAATGTTGTATAGTCAGAGATAACGAAGTACTGATAAACCACATTATTGTGCCAAAATGGTAATAGTAATAGTGGCAATAATTATATCAGCCAACTGTGATGAAGTGAAAGACTTTATTATTGTCTTTTCAGTCCAGTGTCACATTTGTACATATAATTTGAAGTAATTAGTTCTATAAAAGATTGCACTGATGATAGCTTCACCTGTATTGCTTCTTATCATTTAAATTGAAATACATCTTTATTTCACAGGTAAGCAAGTTACTGTTGAAACTGTCACCTTTTTTTTAAGATACTGAGTGACGAGACCAACAAGTTGTGCACCGGGTGGTAAGCGACACACCTGCCTATTGCAGTTGCAGTGTTACATAGGACCTTTAAACCGCAAAGACTTGGCCGGCACTGCCACTGTGCCTGTCACCCTGATATATAAGCTGACACATCTCATGGGCCTATAATTTCATCAGAAGCAGCACCCTTGCCGTTCAAAACTGGAATGCAGTAATGCTCATATGAATGCTTGACGGCAGTACTTCCCTGGATGAACTGTTTCACAATGAGCTCCACTACTGTTAAACTTATTAAACTCTACTACTCATTTGTAAGGCAGATACCCATGAGAAGAACGAGTAGGTATATTCTCTAGGGGACCATGGTTGTGTATACATGTATACCTTATGAAATTATAAGATTCTATCATTCTGGAATTTGAGTTGCAAAGTAGGACTTACCTAATGTGACAAAAACTGAAAATAAACTTTCCACAATATTGTCCATTACTGCTTCCATTTCAGTGTCTTTTGTGTCTCCTTTGTTAATAGCTGGAAATAATCAATAGAATGTAGTATTAACAATTTGTATGCAGATAAAAACAAAATGAACAATGGGTGAGAAAATTATAGTAATTTATTTATTACCTTTATAAATGCTGCCTATGGTCGCCTGCTATTTATACAAGATTATTTTGATAAAAGTTATTTCTGTGTGTATTCAAACTAACTCTAGTAATGTTGGAAATTATGAATTTACCACTTACCATAATAAGACAGAGAATCTGACTGTTGATGCTTCATAATAAACAAATCATCCTCCAAACAGATGAAGTTCAAATACTGGTCATATATTTTGTGAATGTTAATAACAGAGTTGGACTGTATGGCTGAAGCCGCAAGATCCTCCAGTTTCTGCCGTGTAATAGGCGAAATGAAGTTCAAGTGATATTGGTCATAGAGTCCATTGTCTAAATCTTGACATATACGTCCCAAGTTTTCTTCTGAAGGGGCACAGAAGTATACTGCTGGTACTTCAGGGATTGGATCACGGTCTGAATGTAGTTGCCTGTAATTTATTTACAGTTTATCAATACAATAATACATTTTTTATTATGTTGAACATATACTATAACATTTTATAGAACTTAACTATAAAAAAAACGTTAATATTACGGCTATATTATATTTATATAAGTTTGGAACTCACACATGAAGGGTAACGCCTAACTCTCTCAACTCCTTGACAGAGATGAGTGGTGAAATGATATCTTGGCCAACTCTATCGTAAATAAGCACTTTCCATATAGGTTCTGTTGCTACACTTTTCGTCAGAGGCTGGTTCTGGTTTAGCATCTGCTTCAGGGCATCTGCAGACGTAACAACAGTGCAAAATGATTTAATTGATCATGTTGAAGAAAACTCAAAGTTGGTAATACTTACTGAGTTGGCGTTCACGTAAAGTCGTCATTGTGGCCTATCGAATACACTGCCATTAAATTATCAATATTAACATAAAATTGTTGATTTTGTCAAATATCAAAGAAAGTGCATAAATTGAAAGTAATTCCTAATTCCTTCTTAATGTATCGTCAGAAGTATACGTTGTTAGCGTCAAAATGTCAAAATGACGTTTGACATTTTGGAGTTGACACGTTGCTTACGGGTATTTTCGTTACATAATTTCGATGGCAGCAATAAAAGTTTTCTTTTCTTCTATTATCTACGCCAGAGTGTTGGATCATAGAAAAAGGATTCGCTCTGGAGCTTTTGGAGGGAAAAGTATCGTTTTTAATTTGACTTTCAATTATATTGTGAAATCTAGTTTAAAGTGGAATAAGATAGTGCTATTGTGCCTTAATCGAAGATTAAAACGCGAAATTATACGAATCTCGAACTAAAATACCCGTATCGGCCCGTTTTAAGGAATCCCGAGTCAATCCAAGCACGCCGTTTCAAATTGCCTATCATCTTTGTGGCGGCCATATTTACAGAAACATATTTAAACTTCATGTTCAGGCTGATAGCTTTGCCAAAGCCTTAATAAATTTAAAAAAATCATAGAAAAATTTCCATTTAGAAAAATCCTATTTCTGAAAAAAAAAAATTTTCCAACATTTTTCCTTTAATTTTTGCACATTTAACGTTGACACGTGACAAAAGTTGAAGTTACTGAATGAAAATGACGGAAAAGCATTTTTTCGCTATGCGAAATCATTTTAAATCTAGTTTTTCTATATGTGGTTTTTATATATACAAGTTTATTTTATAATTCACGCTAAATAAAACTTGAGAAGATATTTCTAAGCGTTTAAGATAATATTTTCCAATTTTTCACATATTTCCGATCTTTCGGTTCTCTGAAAAATTACCACTACCTATTTGAAATTTTTCGGAAAAATTACCGCACTGTGCCCCAGATTGAAGATTTTCATAATGACATGGACAAATTTCGGTAGTGGGCTGATGAGGAATCTGTGACGAACGACGTGACGTGGTGAAGTCGTAGTTATTTCAACAGATAAATAACAAATTTCACAGGAAAAAAATGTTCTCTAGCATTATCACACATTTAGCATTATCATACATTTCGATTTCAACATAAAACATGGGGAAAACTTGCTTTATCGTCCTCTAAGGGAAAACTTTTCGAACGTTAGAAAACAACTAATGTTGTTTGGCGCGTAAAAAAGTAAACAACAAAAGTTGCATTTTACCTAAAATTTTATTGGATTACTTAATGTGATTACAGATTTATCAAAATTTATCATAGCAGATTTTTTATTTTAAAAGAAATTGTTATTCAATTCAATCAATTGTGTGATTGACTTTGTGATAATAACTTAACGAATGAATATTGAAATGGCGGGAATTTTGGTAACTAGTTTCATTAGTTTAGTCCATTTCCCTATCTGTAGAATAATTAAGACGAAAAATATACTATTAACTTACTTCTTTGACAATAATTATTGAGAAAATAAAAAAAAACTGTTCGTTTTGGTGATTAAACATCGTATAGATGTCGCGCAACATTTACCCGCAGCAAAAAGTCATAAAAAGTTTTTTGGGTCAAATACGAGTCCGTAATTAGATGTTTGACAACAAAGAGTTTCAAGTACGACTTTTGCATATATATTTTTTGTGCCAGCTTACAAGTTGTATAGTGAAACAGGGGAATTTAGAACAGCCGGTGACAGTATTTGACAAATACAAAGTGTGCAAATTCAAATGTAGCTGTATCTTAAACTGTTCGGTATCGCTATAATGTTTTTCTGGTTTATGTTGACTGACAAGAGGGTCTAGAGAAAGCCGCCTGCGGAGGTCGGCTGGCGGGCGGCTGGTGCGCCGGAGTGGCGCAGGTCGGGCGCAGTGCGCGTGCGGCAGTGAAAGGTACCATGTCGTGGATACTCGCAGCGAGCGCGCCTACAGCTATGGCATCACCATATTTGCGAATATTCACTCTCTGTGCCATCCTTTTCACCGGTTTGTAAAATGCTTTATATTTCAAAGTTGAGTAAGTAAATCATATGTGTCAGTATCAATGTTCGTAAATTGTGTTGGTGGTTATGCAAAGAGTTATGCGTACTTAATTCGTAATCTTATGCAAGCAGTTTAACACAGGTAACATTTTAGCAATCTTTTGCCACTCCGTACTTAAAATAAAGTTAGTGTTTTTTACACTTAACTAAAGGTACTTTTTTTAAATAATCAAGTTATGAGGCTTTTATGCCTGTTTGCATAAATAGGTTCCTTAATCATATTTGCCAAGCTATAATTCAAATTAATGTAAATAAGTTCGACCGTTTAGTTTACTTTGTTAACGTAACAGTCACATCAAAAAGATACAGTGAAAGCTACTACAAACAATTTCTTGATTTTGTCAGTTTTGAAAAAAAAAATACTACGTTCAAGAAAGAGTCTTAGTTCAAGTACACTTTATCAAAAAATAATTTTCTTATTTTCTAACATTTTCCCATTGAAATTTGTAATTAGAAAGTCGTCAGTGTTGTTTACACAGAGGCACCTAATTACAATTCGTCGGGCACGTCCTTTCTTTCACTTGACATTGAAGTACGTGTACCGGTTATTGATCGAGGATATTATTTACTTGATCCCGTTTTTTTGTCTTTACTTAAATATATTCTTTATGTATTAGGTATCAAAGGTTTCTTTACGATTTTCACAAATAATATAATGAATGATTAGTTAATATTAACTCAATCCACACTTTGTTCGGCGATCTAATTATGAATTTTGAATGTTCTAGGTGAGAAAACTAAAATAATTACCACGACTCAAGTTGTCTAAAAATCAGATATTATTTATTTCATGAGTAAACAAATTGTACGATAAATTTTCAAATTCTTTAAACATATTTTTTTCCATTTATCACTTACGATATTTATTTAAAGATATCTTAGATAGAAGTAAGTTAAATAGCGAAACGAATCTTTCCCATTTTTTGCTATCCAAGTACGCAGAAGTCTTTTATATAAAGTAAGAAAGTATACATAACATATATAATGCCCCTTAATTGAACCTGTAACTTGTGAAGACGAGTGTCAAATACTGCCACTTTATTTATTTTATGTCTATTCTTTATACTTTTCATAAAAAAAATACTGTTCTTATTACATTTAATAAGTGCACTGTAACACGAGAATTAGAATGTTAATTTCTTTAAATATAAGTGTCTTTCGGGGATATTATGTGGTAAATTGTTAGTCAGCACGTTTCTACAGAACAAAGATTCTATTAATGTCGGTGGCGTTTATCCAAAGCAAAAGGCAGTATATCACCAAACTGTGGAAGTAGCTGAAAACAAACCAATTTGGCGATTTGTACGTCTGACAGTTTCCGTATTTTTTTAATTGTTTTCACTATAGAGCGTTGGGACACTTTACACATTTGTAAATTCCAGTGCTATTTACCATCTAAAGTTAATCTTGAAAATACAACTGTATATAACAGGTTAAAATTTTTATTGGATTTCATATTTGTAACTGTAGGTCTCAGTAGGCTAGCACGATAGGGCGCGACTTGCGTGAGAGCGACATAAAGCGCGAGATCTCTATGCGAGAATAGCAGTATCTCGCAGTACAGGTCTTCTAAATTTTACACTTTTTCTCAGTAAGATGCAGGTTAACTTTAAATCAATCAATTGAACCACAAATTTATCCATAGGTATCCTAAATTGTTCTTCACAAAAATTTAATTTTATTTGGTAGGTACGGTCAAAGGCTCGTCACCTTTATACGTTACGAGCTCTATACCCCACCTACGATGGGGTCGGGCTCGGCTTGCGGCGTATGGTCGGTTTCAGATTACGGGGTGTGCTTATGCTCTTCGTTGGCACAGTAATTAAGTACTATGGGCGATTGATGATGAGGTTCCAGATTCGATCCCTGATTTGAACCAAAAAAATATTTTTAAATTGGTTTTGGTCAGGGTATTCTGGGTATATTGTCTGGCATTTTTTCCTTAAACTTCTCTTTTTGGCGTAGCTTCCAAGAAAAAGAATCTAACAGATAGACGGTCGAGATACAACAACGCTATAAGTATCTTATTTCCACTACATCGGGAAGTATGCCTTATATTTTGAACAATTGTGAAATCTTGTACCGTCATAAAGTCTCCGTATGCTACCTACTTAAGGTGGCGTGCGGACGCTTCGGGCTTCGCCCTCCGCTACACCTCGGCCTACGGCCGTAAAAAGTAAAAAGTAAATTTTGACTGCAAATTATTATTAAACACCCATGGAGATCCCCACATGCCGATTTTCAGCTGAATTAGAGCCAATTTCCATCTGCCGCCAAAAAGTTTGTATGGCAGCCATATTAAAAAATGGCGAAAAACAAATTTTGACCACAAATTATTATTAAACAATATACTCTCTATGAGACTCCCTCACATGCCGATTTTCAATCGCATTAGAGCAAATTTTCATTTGCCACCAAAAGACACTTCTATAGCAGCTTCTATATTGAAAAATGGCGAAAAACCAATTTTGATCACAAATTATTATGAAGCACTCCTAGAAACCCCCATATGCCAATTTTCAAAGGGATCTGAGCATTTTTTTCTGCCGCCAACAAGTTTTGAGCACAAATTATTATCCGTTATTATATACAAGGTGTCCCAAAACTCAACGTCAAGCGGTCACTGGGCGAGAGGCCAGGTTATATCAGTTCTGGTAAAAATTAAAAAAAAAGTCCATGTCACTTAGTTAAGTGATAATAGGCATTTTTTGAAAATGTTGAAAATCGATACCCTAGACCACATATTTAGGTACTGTCATCACAAATTTTCAAATTTTGGAGTGATTTTTTTTTAACGTCATCATAAATAACCATACTATTTATTGCAGTCACAAATCAAACAATAAACGTTATGAGTTTAGTAAAAAAAAATAAGTTTCATTCAGTCGTAGCTTAAAAAAAATATGTCAGCTAGCTTTGACACTTCATATTTTTTTAAAAATTTACTACACTACCCTGGGCAAGTTATTTTAAAAGATGGCCCATATAATCAAGATTTCAAAATGGTACAATACTTGCCACTCCTCATTCCATAAAAAATATTATAACTTATTTTTTGCAAAAGGAGCTCGTTTCAAAAAAAGCTCATGCCATGGTAAATAATACTTTTGTGTGCTCAAAGATTGGCTTTAACATCGTGGAAATGAGATGGTCATATAGAGTGAGATGGATAGTGACAACGCATTAAACAAAATAATCTACCCTAACACATATGAGTGTGTCAAGTTAATAATTAGTCGATTGTTGTATTATAATAAATTTTAATCAAAATGAAACGAAAGGAACTATTGTAATACTTTGATGTTAAAGTAAATGCTCAAACTGTTTGCCTTCGGCACGAATACAGGCTCTGCATCGCCTCACAAAAGATCTTTTTATCAATCGTGCGAATTTTCTCAAACTAATTTCTTCTGCTGCTTCAACAATTTTGTGGCGTAATTGGGCTAGATTTTCTATAGGTTTTGCATATACTTTTCCCTTTATGCAGCCCCAGTAAAAAAAATCAAGGGGGTTTAGGTCCGGAGATCGAGGAGGCCACAAAATTGAACCAAGGCGCCCAATCCACCTTCCGGAATATTCCGTGTTTAAATAATCACGTACAGAACGAGCATAATGCGCTGGGCAACCGTCTTGTTGAAACCACATTTCTTATTCTTATTTCATAGATGTTGAGTGGTACATCTTCTAGTAACGTTTGCAAATCGTTTTGAAGAAAATCTAAGTAGTTGTCGCCATTTAATGTTTCAGGCAACTCAAACGGTCCAATTATTAGTCCATTTAATATTCCGGTCCACATGTTGACTTTGAATTGGTATTGGGACCGGTCTTCACGCATTAAATGCGGGTTTTCCGTGTGCCAGCCATGTACATTGTGCAAGTTTAAATAACCATCTTTTTTAAATGTTGTTTCGTCAGTCCATAAAATTTTGTTTATAAATTGCGGATCTTCACGATTTCTCGCCAACATTGTTCTACAAAAATCCATTCTGAGAGAGTAGTCACGAGGTAATAAATTTTGTACACGTTGCACATGATACGGGTGATATTCGTGTTGCTTTAAAATTCGATGAGCAATACTTTTCGGTATTCCAGTGGCTCTTTCCATCGCACGTACTGAAGTGCTGGGATCATTTCGAATTTCTTCTAGAATTACGTCGTCGTCGTCTCCTTGAGGTCTTCCACCGCTCGTACGAGCACTAGGCAATCGTCCTTCCGAGTATGCCAGGTGTACATTGACGAACACGCGGTGATCTGGGTGACGCTCTAAGTTTGGGTACCTCTCGCGATACAAGCTGGCTGCGGCAGAGGCATTACAATGGCATTCACCGTAAATAAGATGCATGTTCGCATATTCTTCCGCTGTATACAGATACGGCATGTCGCGAAACGTGTTAGTTTTGCTAAGTACTAACTAATACAGTTTACACAGCAAAAATCGAGTCCAGGGAATAAGCCAGAGTCGTCAACACAGATGCAATATCAAGTCCAGAGTAACACAAGCCAAAGTCGTCAGTACAAAAGTTACACGATTACGAGAAGATGCACAGTAAACGAAGGAACTTAGCGTACTAAATGATAATAACCAATGATCAATAATAGAGCATCGGCGTCACTATCCGTCTCGCTCACTCTAATTCATGTCGCACAGCGTCACTATCCATCTCACTCTATCACATATGACCATCTCACTTCCGCGATGTTAAAGCCAATCTTTGAGCACACAAAAGTATTATTTATCATGGCATGAGTTTTTTTTAAACGAGCTCCTTTTGCAAAAAATAAGTTATAATATTTTTTTATGGATGAAGAGTGGCAAGTATTGTACTATTTTGAAATCTTGATTATATGGGCCATCTTTTAAAATAACTTGCCCAGGGTAGTGTAGTACATTTAAAAAAAAAATGAAGTGTCAAAGCTAGCTGACATATTTTTTTTAAGCTACGACTCAATGAAACTTATTTTTTTTTACTAAACTCATAACGTTTATTGTTTGATTTGTGACTGCAATAAATAGCATGGTTATTTATGATGACGTTAAAAAAAATCACTCCAAAATTTGAAAATTTGTGATGACAGTACCTAAACATGTGGGGTAGGGTATCGATTTTCAACATTTTCAAAAAAATGCCTATTATCACTTAACTAAGTGACATGGATTTTTTTTTAATTTTTACCAGAATTGATATAACCTGGTCTCTCGCCCAGTGACCGCTTGACGTTGAGTTTTGGGACACCTCGTATATATATATAATATATTATATATATATAAATTAATTAATAATAAATTATTATCCAATTATTTCTAGTGGCCTTCACATGCCAATTTTCAGTCGAATTAGAGCAAATCTCTTTCGGCAGCTATTTTTAACGAAAAATCACTTAAATGACAGCCATATTGAAAAATGGCGAAATAAAATTTTTGACCCTAAATTATGATTAAGGACTCCTAAAGATCCCCGCATGCCAATTTTCATCCGCATCGAAGCAAGTTTTTCATCGGCCGCCATTTTAGATTCGCCATTTTGATTTTTTTTACACATACAGTTGTCCACTATTACCCTCTATGACATTCCTTCCAGCACCTCCTACCCATTCCTTAATAGTTTCCGTGATAGAACGCTTCGAAATTGTATGGCGGCCATCTTGTTTATTTGAATTTCGAATATTTTTTACTTTCTGCAGAAATTGATCAAGGAGTACCTCATAGAAGTGCACAAAAATCCCCCCCCCCATGTATTATAGTTTTTGTAGGCCGTTGATCACTCGTTTACACATTTTCCACATTCAGGTGTTCTCATATTTGATTCTTTGCCTTGGAGCCTATCTGCGTACAACGGTATAAATATCTTTTTCCCACCATATCGGGAAGTATGCGTTCTATTTTTCTAAGTGAGTCAGGATTTGTTTCTTTATATATATAATAATAGTAAAATCAATATAAACGCACTTTTATTTCATATCTAAGTCCAAAGTTCAAAGATAGAAGTAAAGTAAAAAGTGTCAAGCTGTTTATAGTATGGACTACTTTTCATCCATAGCATAATTAATATGTAGGTAGCTACTTAAAAAAGCTAAAAAATCTGAGATATCCTACTCTTGCGGCAACATCGAAATGACATCAATTTAGCAGAAAACATGTCAACATCATTCTCGAAATTGCAATGGAAAAGTTCGCTGACGATTATAAATCATTAGTTAGACGTATACGATTCTATGATGCAAAGTTTAATTGATGAAATTGGCACAGATTAGTCTAGAAATTACGTGGAACGCTTCGGAGTAAACCTAAGGAATATATCTACCTAATTACGAACAACGCTGCTCTACACTTCGTTGTTCTGAATTACAAGTTGTCTACTTTAACAGATAGGTATTTAGTGTAAAGTCGTAGTTGGGACTATTGTCTAACAATTAATTTATATTAAAGTTATTTAGTTACACTATTAATCAGTGTCGCACGAAGCAGCTTTCTCTTCTAGTTAAACAATCAGTTAATAGTTTGGCAAGAATGTAGTTAGTGGGTGCTAGCCACCTTTTAGGTTGCAATATTTTATGGATGCATTAGGTACTCCATAAAATATTACACCTGAACTAGCAACTTTATATATGTATTGATACAGTGATCTGTTACTCAAAGTAGTTTTATTTTTTTAAACCCTAGTTAAAACGATCTCCCTATTGGTAAATTTTTCAGCAAGCTGCCAAGAAAAAGCGAAAGAAGCCGAACAATTCGTATGTCCCGAAGGTACACAAGGTAACGGCAATTTTGCGGATCCCGCCACCTGCAGGCGATTCTACCAGGTAAGATTCTTCGATAACCCTAACAATGGACAACAACGACCTTTATTGTTATTATTCGAAGGTTGGTTTAATAACAGAATCACATGGGAAATCGCATCCGATTCAAAAACGAAAAAAGATTAAAAAAGTAATCTTTTGCTAATAAAAAAATAATGTTATGTTTAAACAAATTTGCTTGTTTATGTACAAATAATGTATTGATACATTAGCTTTATCAAAGTTCTTAGAAACATAAACAATGTAGATCTGAGTTCTAAGAAAATATTTCTGTTTGCACAATCCCCTTAAGCTAGAGTAAAATTTTGTCATTATTAAAACAGAAAAGTATAATAACATATTGATGAGATTATGAATTAAGTTTGTTACAAAACTGCATGATAATGAAGGTAAAATAAAGGATTAATGTTACGTAAGATGTGTGCGTTTTTAATTGTGTAAATATTTTTGGCACTAAATAGATCTTTTTTTGTAAGTAGATACTCGAAACGACCGGTTTCCAACTCACCTGAGAAACAGGATTTGGGTTGACAATATCCAAGAGTAAACATGTTCGTTGAAAATAAATTGGTCTTGGTTAGGTATCTGCTTTGTATGCCCGATAAATCTGTATGCGTTACAGCTTTTTTATTATTTACTCCAACGTGCTTACAATATAAAACTTGTATCAGAAATATGAAATCCCCAATAACTTTTGTACCACCGTCACAGCTATATGTATACAAATTGAACCTTAATTCGTTCGCATAAGATTTAGATTTGCAATTTCGAGTAGGGACGGTTTATTCACTTTAGTGTATGGTCGTGCGTACATTATCGTCATATATCTTCTCTGGGTTATACCGTTATTTCTCTAGTGCAAATGTAATGCACAGTAGGTATTTGAAGGTTTGAATTTATATTAGTGAAAAGGTGAATCGGTTCTTCCAATAAATTACTTTTCGTAAAGATTCTCAATAAAAATGTCATAGCTGTTTGTTTCTCAACATTCATCCATTACTTACCAGTCGCAGTTTCAAACAATCGTAAGTTTATACCTACCTATAGGTACTGACTACGCCATTTCGTCTACGTTCCTTCAGAACATATTAAAAAGTCATACCTTCTTCTGGAGACATAAGAGACTCTTCTGTAGTATTTCGTCGTTAGTTCAGCTTCTGGATAATTTGTGCGGGTTCAATGAAAACACCTGAAAATCTGCAAATATCCCTGACTTTTATGCATGGGTTTTAATAAAACTACTGCGAGTCGAAAAGTCACATTTTGATTTATGAACAATCCTTTTGAAGAATATTTAATAATTTACGATTCTTGTTTTTATTACCTAAGTTTATGATTTATTTTTGTATAAAATTAATCCATTATAAGTATTCTTCATTCTGATATGGCGGGTTCTTGGCTAATATGAACTTATGGTTAGAAAAAAATAATATTCATACAAAATAATCATGTTTGTTTAGTTTTGTAATCGACGACTTTTGACATATGGGTATATAGGCTTTTATTAAACATAGAGTTGTTAAAAGTCAAAATGTGAGATTTATATTTGTTATGGGAAAGACATTTACGGTTGCTTAATAAATCTTTTAGTTTGATAGAAAAACAAATTAATGAATGCTTTAAAGGTGTTGTTACACTTGGTTGTCGACTGATGATTCGGTTACAATCAATCGGTCACCGCATACATCCATGTGCTGTTGATAACGTAGACAAACAGTTATGCAATTGAATCGCGCACAACTAAAATGCCTCCAGAGATGGGCAGTCAGTGGGTTAAAACACGATCGACCCGTCTGGAGTTTAATCGGGTTTTTAAACCGGCGGGTTTTAGCCCTTTTTTGACCAAAATCGTGGACGGAAACATAATACGCGTAAAATAATAGGAAATTTGGTTTAATTTCATACTTATTAGAAATTTTGTTATATAAAATATTTCTTAGGTGAAAAAGAGGCAACTCAACATAGTACCCACCTTGCAATCCTGTGGACTTGCACTTACTATTATAGGCAAGCACATTATGATTCGACTTTTATAAAAATCAATTCGGTGTATACAATAACGAGTTTCTGTATCGATTGATTTAAAGGTAAAATACGTAAGCAAACAATAAACATTTTGTAATTTTTTTTTGACCTGCCTCCGTGGCCAAACGTTTACCATGCCGGATTGCCACGCAGATGTCCCAGGTTCGATTCCCGGGTCGGGAGAAATATTTGTATGGCCTACATTTATTTCTCTCGTGAGTTTGGGTGTAATTTGTGGTTGTCTATGTGTGTGTCCATGGCACCCGCGACACAGGGTTACCCTAGTGCGGTGCTATGTTGAGTGTGCGTTAAAATAAAAATTACATTTGGTCAAACCTCGATTTACAAATATTTTTCTACTTGTAAATAATTTTGCCGTCAATTTCTGATGTTAATGGGTTTTAATGGGCGTTAACAGAGCGCCGGGTTAAAATCCGGGCGTTTGCCCATCGCTGAATGCCTCCATGAAACATAAGATTGTTCATTATAATTAACTGGCATGAAATTGACAGAGAGCCATGGAATTGGTTAATGACTGTCGTCAACCGTTTTGGTGAACGACCGTCAAATGACGTTAAACGAATTCGGTCAACAACCAAGTGTACATAAAGGCGGTCAGTGACCGTAGGCCGTCCACCACAAGTCGGTAGCCGAATCGGCTAAAGCAGTGGGAGTTTACAGTGAAATACCTAAACTGGGGATCTCCCTACTAATGTTCTGCCATCGGAAGAAAGAAAAGCACAAGCAGCAAATAGAAAATTCGGAGATAAATGAGCTTAAAAACTATTTGGTTTTTGTGGTAAAAATAATTAGTTAACTAATATTTTTGATTATACTTGATTTACATTTAATTAACATTTTCCCAGAAGGACTTACATGGATCAGATCAGTGATATCCTCAAAAAGGCTAGGATCCGAAGTGACAAGAATAAAAGAAGTTGTATGAAAATGGTCGTTGATGCATGTGAGGCTCGAGAGTTGTGACAGTATAGAGTAAAGTGGCTTTCCATGAACTCTGCCTATGCCCCCTGTGGGACTAGGGCGTGAGCTTATATATGAATTTTTTGAAACCTTAATGAAGTAGATTTTTTTAATATAATTTATTACTGCGTATAAAGGTATGTTAACTAGGTAACTTAAATGTAACTTTTAATATTTGACTTAAAAATACAACTAAAAGGCACAATTTTTGGGTTATTTATGACGTGATTATTGTAATTGAACTACATAAGGAAATAGTTCCGTAAATTACTAAGTAAAACCCTTTGATATAAGTTTTCTACCAATGTCAGTTGTATCTTTTGGGCTTACTGTGTATCCAACAATTATACATATTTAGATTTCTAGAAAAAATTAGATAGACATATACCTAGTTTTGTCCTGATCCCGAGTACGTAGGTATACAACTCAATTTTTATAATGATTTATAATTTGTATTAAGGTCATGTATATCTTTATAAACTTTGGAAAACATCAAAAGCAAATAAAGTTAATAAAGTTGATTTGCCAATTTCAGTGCGTTGATGGATACCCGTATTTGAATCGATGCCCCTCTGGACTCTACTTTGATGACATTAGCAAGTTTTGTACCTTCAAAGCGGAGGCGAGATGCGGCCCAATCGCCACGAGTAAGTTGTTATTCAGTTATTAAACATTTCTAATTGGATCGCCCTTTGAGAATATTTCGCCGAACAACTTATTATATCTCGTCGAAATTTATTAAGTAAAATCTTCACTCGTGTGCTTACAGAGCAACGAATACATTCCATGATATATATATACACGTAGCGCATTAACATTCTATAACGTACACACTCATAGCCCCGCACTATTTCCGTAGTGACCTGTATCGCGGGTGCCATGGACACACACATAGGTAGACCACAAATTACACTCAAACTCGCGAGAGAAATAAATGTAGGCCATACAAATATCTCCCGGCCAGCGAGTCGAACCCGGGAACACTGCGTGGTAGTCCAGCATGGTTACCGTTCGGCCCCGGAGGCAGGTTATGTGTCCTATATTCAAAGGTTTTTAATTGTTTTTAATTTAACACATTAATTGATTGATAATTGCAAAGATTTTGCACAAATTATCCAAATAATCAAGTCTTTGTTGCTAAATGTTTAATGAGCAAACTATTATAGAAATGATTTGATCGTAATCTCGCAACTTGTATACGTATAATATGGTATTAATGAAGGTAATGAATGGTACCTTTGTGCTTAATGAATAGTATTTTAATGCTTATCTTAGTTAACTGAGATGTTGATTGCAATTTGCGTTGAAGCTATCCATCCTCACTCAAGGTAAATTGTAAATTAACTTACAAAGTGTCTTAATTGCACTGTACTATCATTTTTGCTTATTAATTTTGTATTAAATTAAAAAATAATAACAATTTTGAATGCAAAATAATTCGAATAGGAACTTTTATATCCCGTTTAACATGAATACACTATGAAAGTTTTTTACTCCAAGCCGTAGTTAGCCGTTAAAATAAAAAACAAAGATCCGCAGCAAGCGTAGAGAAATCGGTAAGGTCTGTTGACTCGTTTCGTAGCTCCGTAGGCGAAAATCTCGCCGGTTCGATTCCAGCCAGATCTAAAGAATTTTTCTTTAAGTCTGTTCGTTCTTTGTTCTTTCCCTTTATTTCATTGTAATAATTTGTAATTCCCTTTATTTCATTGTAATTTCTGGATATTTCATCTCAAATCGTACTGTGATGTTCTTTAAGAGTAGAGTCATTTAATTAAGTTTAAGAGGATTCTGAAGCTCCAGTGCCAGATCGCAATATGATTTTTAAAATATATTTGCTATCTCGGCAATGCTTTTCCACTAGTTACACGTTTTAATAGCAGTAGAGCTCTCTCTTTCCGGGGAAGTACTGCCTATAACCTTACCTATTTCTGCCGCCAAGCAATAAAGTCAGCATTACTGTGTCCGGTTTTGAAGGGTAAGGGTACTGGTGAAATTACAAGCTTTTAGGAGTTGTCAACTCATGTCTCAGGTTGACGGGCGCAGTAGCAGTGCTCGTCAGGTCTTTGCGATTTAAAGCTCTGAGCGGCACTGCAACTGTTATGGACAGGCGTGTAGCTTACCATCAGGCGCGAATAGTTCGTCCCGCCACTTGTTATTAAAAAAAAGATAAGAAATACGTTATGCGCTGATTCGAATTTTATTAACAAGTGACATGTCAAATCAAATAATTAGTTAATAAAACTTAAATTGAAATTTAAAAAATCGCGGTACAAAACAGGGTACTCCAAAAACTTAATGAAGTCACCGCTTGTAAGTCAAATACTTATCAAGACCAATTCTTTCAGATCAGATCAACTTTAGCACAATTTTATTGGTTTTCCATAGTATATCAAATTTGAAGTCCATCGGTCGTCTAGAAGTAAAGCATATATAAATTTTATGACTGAGATTCCTCCACTAACTGGGAAAAGAACCTTTAAACAATTGTGCAGATGTACATCAAACATAGCTCGGAACCATTCCGATAAACAAAAAATAGCTTTGAGATCAGTCGATCTGTTTGAGAACTACGATTCCACAGCCAGATACACAGACAACGGCTTCAAATTTATAACTCTCCTCTTTTGAGTTGGGGGTAAAAAATAAGGAGATGAGTGTTTATTTATCGTTAGTTTTATTTTATCCTTTTCGACTACAAAATTACTAACCGCTTAAAATTTTTCGATACTTTAACAAGTCAGGTTCCTGATCAACAGCTGGCTTTGTCAAGAAGACGAGGGAAATATGTAGCCCCAAACATAAAATTTACAGCACCTAAAACTCTAACTACAAATAAATAAATAAAATACCACAAAATTACCAAAAAATAAAGTTGGCATAGTGTTCATTGAAGGTATCCTTTTGATCATATAAGGGAGTTACCACACTTATTAACGCGGAATGATGTAGTGACTCCCTAATGTAGCCCTATTCTTATTATAATACTAGGATTACGAAAGTGAACGGACGAAATTGGATCCTCGCGACGGGGTACCCAAAACGTTGATGAGCAAGATAAGTTATTTTTAAAATATTATTTTATTTGACATTGGGACCCTACTGATACGCAAACGCGGTCCGTTTGCGTGCGACTTGTGACTGACGGTCAACTGACAGGAAAGAAAGGACCACGTAATGGCCTAATGCTCTTATATCTCTACCGCAGGGACACCGATGTGGAGAGCAAATGAAAAAAAAATAGAGAATTATTTCCGTACAAAAAAAAATAATTGAAAGCACGTATTTTTTATAATAATTAATACAAAGATTCCGGATTCCGGATCTAAAGAATTTTTTCTGAGTGTTCGATCTTTGTAATAATAATTATAACAAACTAGTGGAGTAATTTCACATAAAATAATTGATTATCAATTCAATAAAAATTTAAAATACAGCGAATAGCGACATCTCTCGCCAGGATTGTAAGCTGTAAAGGTACTGCCTGGGTGATAAATCTTTCATAGATTTCTCATAGATGGCGCTACGACTAAAAAGTCGTTGAAAAACCAAATACAAAGACACGATGCAAGCACTTTGAAAAATTCGTGAGGTCCGCTGCTTCGTTCCGTGGCTTAGTTGGTATAGCTTCTGGCACGGTAAGCTAGAAAACGTCGGTTCCAACCGGCCGGATCGAAGGAATTTTTTCTGAGTGTTCGATCTTTGTATTAATAATTATAACAAACTAGTGGAGTAATTTCACAAAAAATAATTGAATATCAATTCAATAAAAATTTAAAACAATTATTTTTTTCATCAACTTAACACAAACTATCAGAAGAAAAAAAAAACTTATATGTAAAGTAGTTTATTAGAGAATTCAGGTTTTATTTTCAAATGTGGTAGCATCTCTATACCCTGTTTATACAAACCAATCATTAATATAGAAAAAATAAAAACTTAAACGTAGTAACTAATTAATTGTATTAATAAACGCCTAAAACCACGTCAGTATTATTTTTGTGATTTAGCATTCAAATTTAGCGCTACATAAAATATTTTATATACCTTAGGGTATCTAGATAAAAACGTTTTTCATATGAAACTGAGGGCATACTTGTTTGAGCCTGAAACATATTTATTTAGTACATTTGAAAGTATGTTTGGGCGTTTGTGCTTTTCATATTGTGCCTCTAATTTGGTGGGTCTTCGAAAGATAATTTAAATAAAAAATCATCGAAATACGTTACGGTTAAGTGGAATAAATACGTTTTCGCCTTTTATTTGGAGAAGGTGTAATGTGTTATTTTATATGTGAAATATCCTAAATAAATAAATAAACGTATTTGTATTGACTTACTCTAGGTACTTGTTTACACGTTATGTGTAAAGGTTCTTTAGTAAATTATATAGGGTGGCCGCAGTGGACACAAAGGTATTTCTTAAAGATAAACTAAATAATTTTAAGAACGTCCGAAGTTAGGTACGTTAAGTCTAAAAGTACAGAAACAAAAAAGATCTTAAAAAGGATTTTTTTTGTCTACGTCTGATGTTACGAACGTTGGGCCGAAAAGTGAGTTTATAATTAACACGTAAAATAATAATTTTGGCAGCGGTCACGTTGTAATGCAAGTGCGTTGACCTGATGTTACAGTAATTCGCATATCTGGATACATGACAAGTACGAAAATAAATGTTCTGTAATATTTTGTTTATAACCGACGTAAAAAAAAGAGGAGGAGGTTCTTAATTACACCTCTAGGGGTGGCAAATTAGGGGATGAATCCAGTTTTTCGGTTTCATCCCTTTCCATTAGCCGATTTCCATAAAATTTGTCAAATAGATAATAATTGTAACGCACATAGTCATAGCCCAGCACTTGGGAAGCCCTGTGTCGCAGGTGCCATGGACACACACATAGACAACTACAAATTCCACTCAGTCACGAGAGGAATAAATGTAACCGTTTGACGGAAGCGGTTATGTAATTCTGCAAACTTTTGTGGCCTTTTTTCTTTTGTTTCTTTTATAAAAATAGTTTTAACTATACATATTATACTCCTTTTCATCACACTTGCAGATAAATAGTATAATTGCATGCAGAGTAACTTGACTATAATGCCCCAAATACGACCGTCGGGCTCTTTTTCTTCTCACTTCAGTCATGTTAGTAAACGTGTGATGAAAAATATATACTGCACATAGCACAGTTAACTTGTAGCCCAGCGGTTAGCCCTGTAGGGCGCTTGATGATTTCGGAAAGTGTCAATTTAGGAAACGAATTTTTCTAAAGGTGTTCTAGGTAGTGCCCCTGAGGTAATCGCGTTGCCCTGGTACTCATAGAATCCTCTTGCTTGAAACCAATGTAATTGGTGTGGTTGTCTGCTAAAAAAAAAAACAGGTAGTGACTATCCAAATAATAAATTTCAAGGGGTTCACCCTAATGCTATTTTCAAGCTGTACTTTATAACGAAATGAACATTTATTTTTCGCAACCCAATGTTTTCTATCGTGATATTGTTTGACCTTTTGTCTTAATTTAGTGTAACGAGAAATGTATTCTCAAAGGCCCACAGGTTATTATATCCCGAAAATAATTTACGCGGTTGACAAGCCTATCTAATACCCCGTAGATTTCGATCCGGATTCATAAGTTGAGGACTCAGGAATTGATAATTAGAAATTATTATTACATAACAATAATGAAAATTTGAATTTCAAATTGGGAGGGTAATGTTAATGTAGACTTCAGTTTATTTAACAGTCAAATTTGAGGAACTTCTATACGTGGAACTCGTGGAAGCTAGAGAGATGTACCTACTACGAATTTGCTGTAGACTATTGGATTCGGAAGGCCCATAACCATATTTTGTGGCAGTCTATTAAAAAGCCAGTTACAAGTCTGGCAAAGATGATGCTTTTGGTATCTCTGTGGTTATACAAGATTATTTGTAAAATACGAACAACCTCACAGGATTGCATTACTACTTGATTACTATAGTATGAGACAAGTATGGCAACTCCATAACAACGTAGCTGCGCGGTTTGTATGTTAGTTGTATGTATGTTTGTTGCATGTCCGCTGCGTGCTGCGGATGGACCCACGTGCTTGCATAATTTCGTCATGCACTCGCGCTGATCATCCCACGCGCCTTTCATTATTATGCTAATGTGCGCGTCCGTAAATGAGGCGCGGCGCGCGCGCACACATACAAACCGCACTGCTACGTTTGTATGGAACACATATGGAGTTACCATACTTGTCTTGTTATACTGTGATATTACAACATTATAAACAACTTTTGTTCCATGACTTATAATAATTCATCAGATTTTATTTTCGTATAAAAATATAAATATTTACAATTATCGCTCTAAAAGGTAGGATAATTCTATGCGATAATAAAAGAAGTGTAAGAGGGTGAAGAAGCATAAATACAGTTCGATGTAAAACGCAGGTACGGGAGAGAGGGTCGTCGGAGAGGACGGTTGCACGTTTGAACTTACAATGTTACTACCAAATACAGATTTACAAAGTGTCAGATAATACCTACAACAAAAACTTAAAAGTTTAGTTTTTGTAAATTTACTAATTATGTTTGGAAAAGCCATGGAACAAAAGTTGTTATTTATGACGTTAATAATATCATAGTATATATATATATATATTATACTCGTGCGAGGTTGGTACTATTTAACATAAATAACCGTGTATAGAATAATACCCTTATTATGAATTCATGTTTCATAAACATATATATATATATATATATATATATATATATATATATATATATATAATATATATATATTATATTATATATGTGTATATATATATGTATATATTATTATATGTTTATGAAACATGAATTCATAATAAGGGTATTATCATATAGTCGTTCGAACTTTGTTATTCGGTGGATATATATTTATAATCGACTTCAAAAAACAAGGAGGAGGTTTTCAATTCGACTGTTTTTTGTATATGTACGCAATGACTCCGATATTTGGGAACCACTTTCGATGATACTTTTTTGTTTGAAATGGGGTACCTCAATAGTGGTCCTATTCAAATTTGAAGAAAATTTTCCACCTATAACACTGCCTTTCCACCAGAGATGTGCGACATAGCGAGGCGGTGTGCGAGGAAAAAATCCACCAATAGGATTACATCATTTTCCTAGCCTCGCTTAGCGCAGCTTCGGTGGAAAAGGGTTAGCGGAGTTAAGTATTTGTACATACAAAAAGGCGAGAGTTGTGTGTGAGAGATGTGTGCGAGGGATACGGGTGAGGAATGTGTGCAAAACGGTGTAGGAAAGTAGAGCTACTGAAAGTATGACACTAATTGACACTGACACATCACCATCATCATCATCATCGCAGCATCATCGCACCGCGCCGCTGCACATCCTCTCACCGCCTAGCTACCCCTCACATTTCTGGTGGAAAGGCAGCTTGAAGATGGCAATTTGAGGAATGATTCCTGTTTATTGGATTTCACCCATTTTCAGTCAAGCGATTTCAATAAAACTTAAACACGCAAACTTTCTAGTCGATTTTTTTGTAAAAAAGTTATAATTACTGTGACTTGAATCATTGCAGCGCCTGCGCCCGTGACTGAGGCTCCACTTGATCTGGCGACCAAGTGCGAGCCGTCAGAGTGTATTCTGCCTTACTGCTTCTGTTCTAAGGATGGTACACTCATCCCTGGTGGACTAGACCCTGAAGATGCAAGTTTTTTTGTATATATTTTTTAAGTATACGCTGAAAATGTTACAAGAATTTATATATGATTGTAGATATGCACGGACCTGTTTCGGGTTTTGTATTAGCGCTTGATGGAGGTCTAGGGTTTGAATCATCGTAGGATCAATTGAAGTAAAAAATTTTTAAAGATTTTTTGGGCCATAACTACCACACAAACGGTAATTACGTTTTAAACGGAAATGCGAAATTGTTACAATAACAACTAATTCTTTGTTATATTCACAGCTGCAAGTACTTAGCATTTTAAAATATTTTTGGATCATAAAGTTGATGTTACGAAAAACAAAATTAATAATAATAATAATGTGCCAGCAACCACACCAATTGCCTGGTTTCAAACTAAGGAATTCCCTGTACTATGAGCACAAAAGCAACGGAATTCATTCTGGGGCACTTCCCAGTACACTCAGACCAGAGGCAAATTAGAAAAGTTCATTTCTCATATTACCGAGAATCAAACCCGGGACCTCTGCATCCAGCGCCCACAAAGTAAATCGTTAGGCCACCGAGGTCGTCGTCAAGATCGTTATTTTAAGTTATTCTGGTTTGGGTATTCAGTGTTGTGCCACCTGATTCGTATAGTACATACAATTCCCTGGCTGGAGATCTGCTAATTGTGGGGCGTCTATACGGTAAATTATTACTATTATAATTACCCGATTAATTAAATTATGTGCGCCAGATTGGTATACAGTGCTTCTATTTTTTCAATGTCCCTCGGTATACTTCGTGTTTCGGCTGTCGGGTTTTATTCAATTGCCCTTTGCCTTTGGTACAGACCGGACGGTTTCAGCCGACTTGGAAGTATATAGAGTTGCTATTACATTTTTTATTTATTACTATTATTATGTTCATTATCATTATCATTTTTGTTATTTGCAATTTTATAATAAATACCTGTGCGAGTGGCGCGGTTAGTGATTATACCAACGGTGGGAATGTCCTAATATAGCTATGTCAGATGAAGAAATGCGTTCAGATACCGATTGAATTGAAATGATTAATAACCGAAAAAATATTCATTTTTGGTTATATAAAAGAATTACCTACGCATTATTGACGTTATATTTTTGTTAACTTGCTTATTGACATGTTACTAAAAGTAAGTAGTACATGTTATTAAAAATAGGGAAATAGTTTTACAGCTCTATATAGTTCACACGGAAATCAAAACAAAACCACAATAAAGAACGTTGTTTATAATTGAAATTATTATAGATTATAATGATAATTAATGGACATGGAAATTAAAATTCGTGTGCATTTGGAAATTCGATGACTGCCGAGAGACGTTGAGAAAATACAATCCTAAATCCAAATCACGTTGTCGAATGCTAATGCTAAATGTCTAATGTTATTAATGTTAATGTCTAATGCTAAACGCATAGGTGTTTCTTTAAAGGCTTCAGAAAAAACGTCCTCGACTTTAGTAACAGATACATTTTACTACATAAACTGACCTCCGAAACTTTACCAATCGCAACAAAATAGAGCTAATTGCCCTATTTGCTCGGCAGACTCCGCAAATGATCATACTAACTTTCGACGGCGCCGTCAACCTGAACAACTTCGACTTGTATAAGAAAGTTTTCAACGGCAAGATAAAGAACCCGAACGGGTGCCCCATACGAGGCACTTTCTTCCTATCTCACGAATACAGGTAAACAAAAATATACACAACATTTATCTTATACCGATTTTGTACATATTATGGTATGTCTTTTTTGAAGACGGAGTAAAATGACATTTACAGGTTTGCCAGTTTTCATAAAATTTTAAATAGTCATCAAATTGTTGCCGACAGTTTTATCGACAGATTGTGAAAGAAGATAAAATTTTGCTAAAAGTGACTGTATTGTGAATGTTACGACGTTCTAATAGCTACTAATTGCGTTATTGTCTTCTTTGTTCTTATTTTGACAGATGGTCTACTAGTATCGAAATCAATTTTTATTCATATACATTTTAACAAGAATAGGCGGATTTGATTATCTAAACTGAATTAAAATGAAAATATTGAAAATATACTTCCTGTTTGTATTTTTCATGGACATAGTTCTAAATACAGTGTATGTATGTGTGACTTTGACTTGGCTTACAAAAAATTACTATTCAAATGAACTTGTGCTCAGTAATTGGACGATTAACGGGCCGAGGATGATTCAAATGAATCAAGCTCGGCTATTTATTCCATGCGCGTGACCAACTTTCAGTCGATAGTCGATAGAATATTTATCAACTGCAATCACTAGCGCTTGCAAGCAGGCAACGCTCACTTGCGCAATGAACTGTCATTTTACTCCGGCTTCAAAAAAGACAGGCTATAATATATTATGTATACAGGGTTATTTGTAAAATACTAACAACCTCACAGGACTATATTACTAACATCATAAACAACAACTTTTGTGTCATGACATCAAATTTTACTTTCTTACAAAAATAAAAATATTGAAATAGATTGCTATAAATACCTTTTTTGCGACGAATATAGTTCACTTGTAGTTCTTATACGTATATACAAGATGAAACCTGAATACCAGCAAATTGCTGAGGCTGTTACCTTTTCTTCAAAACAGCCATTTATTTTAAGATACTATTTGAAGTTTTTTTATGTGTCGTTGTAGTGTTGAAAAATAAAGTCTTTTTATTTTATTTTTATTTATTTTGAATAGTGATAACTCTGTGCAAAACACATTAGCGAGAGTGGGGGTCGTCGGGGAGGACGCTTGTACGATTGAGCTTATTACGTTACTATCAGGTACAGTGCCTCGACCATGAGATTACAGTGATAGTTCTCGCTAGCGACCGCGTAAAATATTTGTATACAAAATGTTGTTTCTTCTTGTGATCGCTAGGGGCGCTGTATAATTTGCCATACAAAATTGTGAAGTAATTTACGCGGTCGCTAGCGACAAATTGTCACAGTAAACTCGTAGTAGAGACACAGATCTAAAAAGTGTCAGATAGTACAACCAAAACTTAAATAGTATTTTATGCAATCGTTGCATAATGAGGGTTCTTAAAGTCGAATACCGTGTTTAGGCCTTGAGGCTTTGTCGAGTACTAGATTTTAGACCTAGTTAAGTAATGACTGTATACAATACTTTTTCTACGAGTTAATAAAATTATGAAACAGAAAACCAATATTTAATATATTATATTCTATTAACAATCCATGACAATAAACGCAATTTTTTAAAGTAAATTTTAACACATTTATTAGGGTAGGCAATAGTTCCACCATACAGCCATTTCATATATTTAGACGTAAACGAAACAAACGCTACAAAACAAAAAACCAAAGAGATAGAATAGAACTGGCCAAGTACCGCTTAGATTTTAACCATATATTTTTTTTATAAACATTTATGGCCCGGTTGCAAGACTTTTAGGCCGATTTAACAAATCAGGAGGCGGTATAGCGTTTGAGTAGCGTCATAATTGATATTTTAATTAGCGCAAAAATACGACTTTTTTTGAAACTCATTGAAGTTCTGTGTATAGTACTTTAATATTCAAGACGATTATCAGTACGAAATAATATAGCCATGTCTAAAGCGTAATTAAACGTAGTGCAGAGGTTTCGAGTAATACTAAGTAATAGGAGATATTATTTAATATGTGTGTTTCTAAGTATGCGTATTAATATGTTAAAACGGTTTATGAGTTTTTAACCGACTTCAAAAAAGGAAGGGGTTCTCAATTCGTCTGCATGTTTTTTTGTATGTAAGTTACGCGATAACTCCGCCATTTGTGAACCGATTTTGATGATTCTTTTTTTGTTGGAAAGAGTACCCTCAGAAGTGGTCCCATTTAAATTTGAAGGAAATATTCCACCTCTCAGGGTGGTATACTAGGGGATGAATGACTTTTGATGTCGGTTTTTTTAAATGGAGGTTAGGTTATTTAGTATTAGCCTTAGGCGCAAAAACCGAAAACGCTCACTGAACGAAAAAACCTCCACAATGAGTTGTGATCTCTTTTTAATCGACTTTAAAAAAAGGAGCAGGTTTTTGTGTCGACTCATCCGTAGAATAAAGATCTATGTGCAAGACTATTTGTTCTATATAGTATATATTTCGTTCGTTTTTCTTCGCTGTGGATGTCAGATCGATCGTTGTTCGATTTTATATCCCCGAAACGGAATAAGATATCTTTACACATACCTTACTTTGAATAACGAAACTATTCTCATAACGTGCTTATTCCCTTTCCGCTATATAATCACACGGAATCTGTTCTTCGGATGAGTCGGTATGTATGTTACGCGATAACTCCGGCCGCAGTATTGGTCAGAATTTGAAGAAAATATTGCACCTCTAAGAGTGGCAAACTAGGGGATGAACCCGGTTTTGCGCACTTTCCGGTAACCAATTTCAATAAGACTTGGCATATTGATGTAATTCCATTGTCTTTTGAAGTCGGTTTTTTAGTAGATTATTAATATTCACTTCACGTTATTCGTGTTATGGCACTTATAAAAGTAGCCAGAACGCGTTGTGTTGTGCCTAACTCTAAACGGTCACAATACGTACTTGGCGTCGCGGCTCTCACGATTTGATCACTACGCGGATTCTGAACGTTAGGTGATGCAATCACTATACGATTTTATGTAATCTTTTTAAGTTAGCTACATCACGTTCCGGCTATTTTAACAAGAGTCATAACACGAATACCGTGTTATGGATATTTTAAGGAGACCACAACGTATTCAGGACTTTTTTTGCACAATGGACGTTTTCGTCCTTTGAGACTTAACATTAGTAATAAATGACTTATTGAGAGCGGGAAGTTTATTTTTTTCTCAAAAAAAAACAAATTAATAGAAGTATTTATAAAAAAAAACTGGAAAAGGTAAGTTTTAAGATATATCCCATCCCGGTATCAACAATGTCACAAGTAACAAATCAGCAGAAACTTCCTTGGTTTTCGGCAATAAAATATATGGCAACATTACGTTCAGCCTGGAGTTAACTAATATAATATTTGAGGACTGATCGGTAGAATATATATTTTAAACACGACCGTCACGTTTTTACTTGACACGCCATTTGTAATTTTTAACCGACTTCAAAAAAGGAGGAGGTTCTCTATTGGACTGTTCTTTTTATGTATGTTACGCATTAACTCGGTATGTGTAAACCGAATTTGATGACTTTTTTGTTGGAAAGAGGATAGTTCAGTAGTCCTATTTAAATTTGAAAAATATATTCCACTTCCAAGGGTGGTAAACTAGAGGATGAATTACTTTTGAGGTGGCTTTTTTTAGTACTGTGTACTGAGATTATTAATTATTTATTTCTTACAAAAGGCATAAATATGAATTTTTAGGTTCCTTACTTGTTTTACCTCCTTTAAGATTTATTTTTATGACAAAAAGAAGACTATTCTCCCATCTATCTCTGCACCAAAATTCATCAAAATTGATTCATTGGTGTAGGCGTCAAAACGTAACAAACGTAGTTACTTTCGCATTTAAAACATTAGTTCGGATAAAGTGTATAAAAAGTACAAAATTTGAAAATACAGTTTTTTTGTCCTTTTCATGCTCTCATCTCTGCTCGTTAACACCCACTATTGGGTATTTCATACTGTCGAGGTCGACAAAAAAAAAACGTTAAGAGTACTGATACCTACATCAATTACATACGAAATTGGTAACTACAAACAGAAATGATGTGATATTGATTTTTATTTATCGCCGTAATAGTTATATATTTTTGTGACATAATTCCACTAGCGAACAAGCTATAGCAGTAAACAGCTGTAAAGCTCATTGTGAAGAGGTCGTCCAGGGAAGTACTGCCACCTTACCTATTTCTGTCGCCAAGCAGTAATGCGTTCCGGTTTTGAATAGTAAGAGTACTGGTGAAATTACAGGCAAATGGGACTTCTCAACTTATGTCTCAGGGTGACGGGTCCGGTGGCTGTGCCCCTCAGATCTTTGCGAGATTTAAAGCTCTGAGTGGCACTGCAATTGTTATGGACAGGCGTGTAGCATATTATCAGGCGCACGAATTGTTCGTCCCGTTACTTGATATAATAAAAAAAAAATCTATCCTAATATTTTGGATGCGAAAGTTACACTGTTACAGTTTCACGCCTAAACCGCTGAACCAATATTGATGAATTTTGGAACAGAGATAGATGAGACCTAGGAGAAGGGCATGGGCTACATTTTATCACAAAAATAAATCTAAGAGGAGGTGAATAGGTGATGACGGTTCGTATGGAGAACCAATAAAACGATGAAAATTAATATAGTACTGTAAGCTACTCGAAATATTTATTCTATGCAGACGAAGTCGCGGGCACAATCTACTTATTAACCCTAACATTGAACACAAAAGAGCATCGCTCTGTTTTGGCGTGGGCACAGTGTCCAATCCGAAGGAATTTTTCTACGTGTTCGATCTTTGCATTCAAAACATTTTTATTTTCAGCAATTACGCTCAAGTACAGGCATTGGCGCATAGTGGACATGAGGTAAGAAACTTCTTATGACTACTATATTTATTTACGCACATCAAGTGTCTAGGGATCAAGCACGTTTTTGCCAATTACTGAAAATCTGATTTTTTAATTTTTGCTTAACACTAATGGACTTGAATTTATAAAAAATCCATTAGTGTTAAAAATATGTGAAAAAATTTGAATTTTCAGTAATTGGCAAAAACGTGCTTGATCCCTAGACACTTTTGATTTATGTGTTTTGACGTGTGTACTGGGTTGTTCAAAAAGTCCGTGCGGTATCACGGAAGAAAATAAATATCAAAATTATTTGAATGTATTTGCCATATTGATTTACAATCTTTTACCATCTTTCGGGTGATTTTAGAATATAGAAGCTAAAAGCTTGCTTAAAAGAATCCTGTATGTACTTAGAAAATACAGCCTTAAGAGTCGGTTGATGGGCACTTCGCTATTAAAGTCGTGTCCATTCAAAGAATTTTGCAAAGACCGAAATAAGTGAAAATCTGAATGGTGCGCGAATACTGTGGATGACATAACATTTTGACGGCTTTGTAAAGATACTCGTATCTATGGTTTGGTATCGTATTTCATCATGATAATTCATGATGAAATACCATACCTTTGGGATTCACCAGTTCTGGGTATTTTTTCATGAATTGTAAACTTAAAACTTTCCCGTCTGATCCTAAAATGCAAGCTAAAATGTTATTTTTTAAATTACCCCATAGACAATATTAAAAAATCTTTTTTGTCTTAAGTTAGTGACTAAATGGCACGGATTTTTGAGCAATCCATCATTGTACAAAACGTTAGACCGATATTTGATATGGTGATATTATTGTTATTTTTTATGATATCAAGTGATGGAACGGACAAGTCGTGCACCTGATGGTAATCTACACGCCACTCCATAACAGCTGCAGTGCCACTCATAGCTTTAATCGCAAATATTTGAGGGGCACTGCCACTGCGCCAGTCACCCTGAGATATAAGTTGACAAGTTCCATGTGCCTGTAATTTCACCAGCACCCTTACCTTTCATAATGTTCACATGACTGCATGGCGGCAGACAGAAATAGGTAAGGTGGCAGTACTTTTCTGGACGAACTTTTTCACAAGGAGCTCTACTACTACTAATTAATAAAAATTATTCATGATAATAAACATACAAATGTTATTTCCCTGACAAATGTACGACTGAACACGCGTATTTTGGATGACCGATCAAATAATTTTTTTACGTCAACATCATCGTCAACACATTACACGTCTCACTACTGGGCACGGGTCTCCAATGGACAGACTTAGGTCATAGTTACGCTAGTCCGATGCGGATTGGGTTAAATTAGTTATTTTTTTAATAAAATTCTTTACGAAATTTTTTAGTACCTGGTTATTATGAACAAAGATCATCAGCTAAGACATGATTGGATCACTTTATTACAAAACCTCGTATAGTGTATTAATAAAATGCGGAGAGTTGCCCTTAAATTAAAAATACAGCGGTATTTTTCAATGGACGGTGCTAATGTTACTAGATATATTGCGCGGTATACATGTATGTTCTTCACACAATCTACCAACTTTGTTGCAAAATCTTTGCTACAATATTGCAGAGTTTCTTGTTCGTAATAAAATTCTCAAAGTTTATTTCACCGTCTCGAATTATTTTGTAGAAATCAAGCCATGGGTGGATGAATTAAATTATAAATTGTTGTAGCTGTAAGCCCCTTGAGAAAGAGTTCGTCCAGAGAAGCACTGCCACTTCACCTATTCCTGCCGTCAGGTAGTAATATGAGCGTTATTGCGTTCCGGTTTTGAGGGGTAAGGGTGCTGGTGAAATTACAGGCACATGGGACTTATCAACTTATGTCTCAGGGTGTTTTTGGTGCAAAAACTTATGTCTCCATGATGCGTTCCACTATGCCAAACACTGCCATAGATGGTACAGCGTCGTCATGCGGAGCTTGTTTCCGCGGGCGAGTCACGACCCTCAATAATGAGGTATACGACGCTAGGAGGTTTCATGGTGACAGGTACAGTAGCAGTGTCCCTCAGATCTTTACGACTTAAAGCTCTGTGGTACTGCAACTGTTATGGACAGGCGTGTACCTTACCATCAGGCGCACGACTTGTTCGTCCCGTCATTTTGTAGTATAAAAAAATAAGGAAAATTACGGTTACAAGTTAATTTAGGAGTACCTCCCTTGTTTAAAGATTGCAACGGGCACAGTGTCACAGCAACAAGGTCTTCAAGACAAAGGATACGAGGAGTGGGCGGGAGAGTTCATAGGAATGCGAGAGATTCTGCGACAATTTGCGAACGTCTCGCGTACAGAAATTGTTGGCGCCCGAGCACCGTTTCTAAAGCCTGGTCGGAACACACAGTTCAAGGTGAGTGTCTTTGTAATGGCTGAATCACATTTTTTGTTTTTTACTATTATGAAGGAATTATGTAATTTTCTATAATTGTTTGTAATAATTTCATTTTCCATATCAAATACAGCAGATTTGCCTGCAGACTTTAATCCCTGAGCGCTATAACTTAGACCTTTTTTATTTGTTTATTTTTTCAATGAGATTTTTCCAAATAAGATAAGGTTCTCCCACTTCATAAAAGTTTATCGGGAGAGTTTGGTTGCTACGCTTAATGTTACAGTCACATAAACATTTTCAAGCATTATTTAGTTCTGGATGCTCCATCGTCGACCTCATCGTCACTTTCCATGAGGTGAGATGGAGGAGAAATGCACACTTAGTTTATCATAAAAAAATTGTTTTTTTTTAAATCTACACCCTTTAGTACCGTTTAAAATTGGCGCAGTGCATATGGGTGTTGACAAGGGGGATTGATCCCTAATGTGCCCTATTAAAAAAAACGATAACTTGCAAAATATAGCAAAATAGGTACAGAGATGTGCGTAGCTCCCAAACTAGAATCCTCTGTACTGTGAGCAGCTAGGTGTTACGTCCGTCAAGTGGGTTACCTCAAAATAACAATAACTAAGTCTATTACAATAAAATATAAAAAATATACGATTAGTAGAATACAAAAAAGAGGTGGTTTACATTTAATTTTGGTACATTAGGAAGACAACGAGGAAACATTTGGTGTTTACCATAGTTGCTTAGAACTTACTATCTATTTATATACCGTATTCATTTATTCATATTATATATTAAAGAATAACAAGTCAATACATCAATACGAATCGATTACCTGCGGGACGGGCTTTGCAGTAATCGTAGGAAATTATCTGTACGCGATATACGCTACAATTGAGTTGTATTACCTGGTTCTTTGTCGTAATTTAAATTGTAATGTACCTACACAATTTCATTTCATTTGTAAATATATTTTTTTTGTATACAATTTATCAGGATGAGGGTTTAAAAACACAGAACGTGTGACTCACAAATTTGCTCGATTTTTGACGATAGATACGTGTCATCAAACAAAACAAGTTTTCGTAAGCAATAGGCGATCGACATAGTACTTTTTGTCGATCAACATTGATCAGACAAAATCGAATAAATGTGCAAAAAACAGAGGATCGATATTGTATTTTTTGTAGATCGACACGTGACGATATCTTCAAAAAATCGAGCAAATCTGTAGGCATCGTGAACGTATCTCACGCCAAATCAGATGATTCGTATACCCATCCAATGTAGTCACGTGATAATTTTAAGCTCAGTGTCCTATTTACAATTAATTTAAGCACATTACGATTACATCGTACATCTGTGTAATAAGTTGAATATACTCTTTTTATTTAAGCTACCATTCTTGAAAATAAGCTAGATATAGCATTGAGCCTATAGATCATTATACACCTAACTATCATGTTGTGTATAAGGTAACATACTACTACGTAGGTACAGCCGTACGTGTCCAGAAGGGCGATGACCTACCAAGCAATTTGGAGTAAAAGTAGCTCGATTTTACCGGTTTTCAGAAGGCACGTGATCGAATGTGATACTGGTTTTTTTATTAGTTTCTACCCAATTTGTAATTGAAACGATGTTCCAGATTAGGTTAGGTAGGCGGCCGCGCGACAACCGCGCGATTGTCACTTTTCATACAATTTCTAGTGCCGCGCGGCTGCAGCGTTGCTACAGCGCGGCTAACAGCGGCTAATTTGAACGCACCCTAAATGTAACATTTACAATAATCGCTACGATGTATATGAAAATTATACGATAAATCTGCTTATAAAGTAATTTTAGATACCCTGTATTAGAGTTTAAAAATATCTTCAAAACAATCTGTAGGGCTAGCACGATAAGGCGCGACTTGCGTGAGAGCGATATAAAGCGCTAGATCTCTATGCGAGAATGGCAGCATCTCGCGCTGTATGTCGCTCTTGCGTTAGTCGCGCCTTATCGTGCTAGCCCTACTGATGAATATGAAAACTTTAACTAAATTAAATGTTTTACTTGCCTATATTATGATATTATGGTATAATGAGAATTTACAGTATTATATGTATTACAGTATTATAAATTGAGTAAACTTGTTCAAAAACTTCTTTGACCCTATAGTACAATTTTCTAAAAACTCTTTCTCTAGTTCCTTAAACATTCGATCTTATTATCAAGACTTTCAAATTAGAGAAAAACAATAGAAATACACTTTTACACAAGATATTTGTAGGTAATTTAGCGGTATGTGCGCAATTTGCCAACGCTTACGTTTGTAGCTTTGTTGAAGATTACATGCTAACGTGAGGTCCTTAAACGTAATCATCCACTAAATACAATGTCATCATCAAAACTTAATACTCTAGTTTCAGTTCCAAATAACAAAACAAAGTTGCTAGTTTCACACTGATCCAAGGCGTAGCCGTAATGACATCGAGAGTTCTGCTTCCGTATTCTAGAGTCGACTCCTGCTATACAATTACTGCCGGCACAATGTTGCGAGCTAGCACCGCGATATAATAACAAGAAAAATAAATTCTTGACACTTGCGACATTGTGTTGTGTTCTACCGTAATTGGAACTTAATTGGTGCGGTTGTAGCTTTGAAATAGGTCATTTCTTTATGAAAAATAATTTTTCTTTTTCTTTACACTAATTGCATAAAAAATCACAAAAAACCAGTATATGAATACATTATGGCGCGTTTACATTAGGTCGACAGGTTGTTTTTTCTTGCCCGCCGAAGACAGTAACCTATCCAGTGTAAACATTGAGTCGCTTGACCACCACAGTCCGCTGCTGAAGTCGAACGAATTGACGCGGTGTAAACACTGTCAGGCGTCGCCTCGCCTTATCCAAGCGACAGCCGACCAAGCAAGTTTCAATTGAGCAGGACCCACCACGATATGTTGTTCGGAGCCGGGGAATATCTACTTACCTTGTCGGTTTGTTGTACGTTTCGAATGATTTGTGCATGGACATTTGTGCGTAAACTTATATTTAGAATGATTTGGTTACCTTGTCGAAGGCGGCAGTCGAGTGGGCGTAAATAGCGTATCAACTGCGCCGCTTATGTCAGAATTAGTTTGCCGAAGAGGCGGAAATCGACTCTCTGTTTACACCAATGTAAACAGCGAATCGATTGCGCCTCCTGCGGTGAAGTAGTATGCCGAAGGCGGCAGTCGACCCCGTGTAAACTCGCCTTTAGATTCTTCATTATTAGAGACGTTATTCCCGCGCTGTGTATTAAGATATTATTAGACGTACTAGCAAAACGTACACGTCACGTAGCTCACACAAACTGTAATCGGATAGAAATTCTCTTAGGGCGCGTTTCCACTATGTTGTCACGTTTTATTATCGTTGGACGACTGTCGTGTCTAGCCTGTTCCCATATCACAACTATCTGTCGTGGACGATTTTTTATTGTTGAACGACTGTCGTGACTAGATGTTCCCACTAGATCGTGACGACAATTTATCGTTTCACGACAGCCTCCTTGTCGTTTGCACGACAGAATCGTTTGATGCACTGCAGTCGCTTGTATATTATTTTGGAAGCCGGTAGTGTGTGTTCGCTCGAAATGGATGAAGACGAAATTTTAATATTGCATTACTTTTTAAAAATGCGGAAGAGGAAGCAAACAAAGAAAAGAAAGTTTTTGATACATCCAATGCTACTAAGAAGAATTCCATTAGGGTTATGTCAAACGGTAAAGGAAGTTGCTTTCTTTTCGGTATTGTCAAAACCTGCTACGACCAGAGGTGGGCAGTGGGTTAAACCCAATCAACCCGCCCGTGTTTTCATCAGGGTTTTACCTGAAGCGCCGAGTTTTAACCCATTTTTGCCCGAAATCGTGGGCGATGAGTACAGAATTTGGTATAATTCCAACACTAACAACATAATATACAATAACTTATAACCAATTTCTATATTTTTATTACACGAAGAAAAAGGCATCTCCACATAATACCCACCACCTGTCAATCCTGTGGATTCTCAATGAAGATTGATTCAAGTGCATACGATCTAACGATTTTTTGTATCAATTTATTGATGAACTTTTCAAGCGAATCTATTCAATAGAAAGGTAAATCGAACTGTCCTGATAATAAAGCAACAAATATTTTGTAATAATATGTATAATTAAATTTGAACAAAACTCAATTCACAACAAATATTTAGACGTAAATAGTTTTTGCCTCGACTTCGGGTTTTAGCCCGATTTAAACCCGGCGTTAACAAAGCGCCGGGTTAAAACCTGGGCGCTTGCCCATCTCTGGCTACGACCCAACGCTACTGCAAAGCGAGCAGAGGGCGCGGGGTACTAGAGGGGAGGGCAGGGAGCAGAATACGTGCGCACAGCGATAAATAAAACATGACGACAATAGGAGCTACGACAATCTGTCGTCACGTTTTTATCGTGACGTTTTTTTATCGTCTGACGACTGTCGTTCTAGCTGTACCCACTGTGACGACAGTTTGTCGTTGTAACGATAATAAATCGTGAACAACAGATAATAGTGTCGTGCTATATGTGAACAACTTTATTTAAATATACAAGCCACGACACTGTAAACTGCATGACAATCTGTCGTCACGACATAGTGGGAATGCGCCCTCATATCACCTAAATGCGTTTATTTTTAAATAAAAATTTTCAAGAGGTACGAAGAGGCATCTTCTAGACAGGCAAGGTGGGGGAGACTAGGGCGATGGTTGTTTCAACACTGCATTAGATTCCTTTGTTTGCATGCCATTAATTTAATTTCAGGTAATGCGGAGTCATTTACCTGCATTGTACAAAAAACAATGTTTCTCTATCCGAATACTCGAATTCCCTTAATCGCTCCCGGTTGCTTTGTTATTTTATTGTTATCGATCCTAATGAAATCAAATAGACAACTAATTGAATTTAAAGTAGCGGGAAGAATTTAGAATTAAACATGTAATAAATGAAACAAAATAAATAGCTGATGCTAACTGATCTTTCTTGCAAGGAGATTTATCAATTTCTTTAGTGGTAAAATGTATAACTCTTGATAACAACATTACGAAGTTTTCCTATAATCTGTTTATACAATTTAGGTACTCGAAGACTTCGGATACATCTACGATAGTTCAGTGGGTGTCCCGCCTCTGCCAATCCCAGTTTGGCCTTACACATTGGATTATAAGATTGCTCACGAATGCAAGTCTGGGACTTGCCCTACTAAATCTTTCCCGGGTGAGTAATAAGGATTTCTTTTATCGTAAATATTAGTAATTATTATGATAAATAAATCATGTCAAACGAAATACTTGATTGTAAAACTGAATTCCAACACATACTACTCTGATAATACACTCCTCAGACAAGATTTTCCTCTCACGAGATTCTACTTAGTCTAGAACAAATCAAACAGGGTTCTTCTTAGAAAAGACTACTCTGACTCTGCTCTGACAGGACTTTACTTCGATAAGACTACACTCCGATAGAATTCTACTCCGAAACACTGCACCCCGACAGTACTCTACTCCGACTGGAGTCTACTCTGACATAATTGTACTCTGACAGAACTCTACTCCGACAGAATTCTACTTTGACATGACTGTACTTCGACCTAACTCTACTCCGACAGAATTCTTCTCAGACATGACTGTACTCTTTCTGACAGGACTGTACCCCGACATGACTTTACGCAGTTTTACTCCAATAGACCTTATTTTACTCTGACAAGACTCGACTCCGACAGATCTTGCTCAGACCTGACACAAAAGGATACTGGACAAGTCTGCACAAGACATTAAACTGGATAATGATTTTCATTGTGTATTGCTAGCGTCTTACGTGGAGTCAGATCATTGTCCAGTTACGTACTTGATACTTTTATTTTGACCTAATTAATTTTGTTGTTCAAAGACATTGCGCCTAATATAATTTGTGAGTATATATTGTGTCAGGATGAGTATGCGAGTGTGTGGGTGTACGTGGATGTGTAGGAGAGAGTACTGTAATCATAATTGTATTTTCCTTCGTAAAATTTGGTTACAGTAATTTGGAATAAACAAAGCTTATTTATTATAGTGACAATATCTGTGCGAGTCTGGAATCTAAATTAGGTCGAGATTTGTTTTGGCTTTTCAGGCCTGCTAATTTTTGAAACAAAGAAGAACGAGTAATGTCGTGTGCTATATGTTGAGGAAATTATTTGTATGTTTGCAGTTTTTATTCTGTCAAATGAAAAGTTAAAATAGCGGAGGGTAATATTTTAGAGTTTTTACTCTTTTAAATTATATGAATTGATGAAATAGGTACCTGCATCTGTACAAATGTTATGGTAATCTTTCATCAACCTATTTAAGAGTCAGGATTGGTGTAGCCTTCTCCAGTCCTCACGTTGTCCTTGACCTTCATATACCTGCTCTCTTTGATCTTCTTCTTTATTTAATAATAATATATGTAATTATTATTATAATTAGAGTCTTGTAGAATAGATATGTTAGAATTGTAGAAAGGGCGAAATCGCAATTTCGAAAAATTTTGTTTGCTTTAGGTTTTTCCGACTGTTTTAAAATATTTACACCCTGTTTTAAAATTCAATTTCTACAAAATACTTATGACATTTACAATGAAAAAGGTTAATGAAGGTACAATTTCGGAAATGTAGTAGAATCTAGTCCTAATGACAAGCATGGAGCCTCAGCACTACATGCTTTTTTTCAGATTTCACCTTGATGCATGGACATTCGCCGGTTACAATTAACTAGACTTCACAAAAATTACGTATTTTAACTTTGTGGGACAAGCTTAAAATGAATTTATTATTTCGATTTCTATTCGTACTATTGATGTGAACATTTCACGCATGATGGCATACAAATCGTCCACAGCAGCATCTGCGACGGCCCTGAAGGTGTTATTATATGGAACTCGTAAAGCCCTGTAAGATCCCAGTGTAAAGTTGGACCGTAGAGCATACGTGTAGAAGCTCTGGCAGTTTGCTCAAAAGAGCGTTAGCTTCACTCCACTCATACATTGTGTGAATCTATGAGCCAACATAGGGCTTCTATCTTCCGCTAAGTTATTATTCTCACAAACTCGGTATTACGTAACAAATGTCCATGCTAATCTTTACTTGACTGAATTGTATAGGTACTTTAGTCAGTTTGTTATCAAAATTAACTGGAAAATGTTAATCTGTTATAATACTTTCATATCTCTATTAAAATATTGACATCCATGCTACGGTTCTGAAGTTCAAAATTGGTTTCATGATTTATAGGATTGAACATTTCAACGTAAACTTGTGTGAAGTTGGACGGTTAGAGTGCAGGTTCATTTTCTGTGGTCATTCGTTTCAATTACCTGCGTTTTTAAACACGACATACTTATAAGTTTCCTTGACAATGACAAAAGATTTTAAAGTTGAAAATAACTTTTCAGGTTTATGGGAGGTGCCATTCAATGCCCACTACGTAGAGACATACGAGGGAGGACATTGTCCGTATCTGGACCAGTGCGTTCTTCATAACCATGATTCTGAAGATGTGAGTTAATTTTTTTCTATCAAGTGATTTGTTGATTTTGTTTGAACTCTATTGTTTTTAAAACTCCGCGATTCTCCACATTTTTTACAGAGAATTAGTATTTTGTATTGGGTATATCAATTACTCCATTTTGGTAATTGAAGCTATTTATATAGGGTGGAACAAAAATGTGCAACAATATGTCGTCTGCTTAAAGGTAAAATAAGTGACATCTAACATAAGTGACATTTTCCACAATAAATCTCTAAATTATGTACCTGTAGTAAGAAAATCACCATCTTTCTGCAGATAAAACTCTTATTAAGTTTATTATTGAGAATTTGATCTTCACGTGCAGAAAAATAATGATTTTCTTACCGTAGTTATATAAATTAAAGACAAATAGGAAGAGATTATACCTACCAGAGCAACTACATCTTCGTGGTGTATCAATACCCTGAATCAAGTCTTTGCTACTTTTGGAATTCCGTACTCTCTTGTGTCTAATAATGAAAGACAATTTACATCCAACGATTTTGAGACTTTCTTACAGAAAAACAATATACAGCACAAGAGATCCGCTCCATATCACCCAGGCACTAATGGACAAGTTCAAAGATTTGTACAGACTATCAAAAATTCCCTGAAGGCCATGATTAATGAGAAGGGCGATATAAAAGATAAATTAACAATTATTAAGACCCAATTACAGAGAAAACCACATCTTTCAACTGCTATCAGTCCCTATGAGATGATGTTTGGGAGACCAATTAGAACTAACTTACACGCCTTATTTGCTAAACCAGCACCGACTACATCTTCACCTCTGTCACGCAACTTTCCCACATCTCCACCTCTAGCACGCAATTTTCCACGTCTGTTAAGGACTCTCCAGAGAGTTCAGGCTCGGAACTACGTATCCATTGGACCTAAATGGGTGTTGGCGACAGTAAGAAGGAAGTTGGGCCAACTACATTACGAACTTCAAACTGACACCGGAGAAGTCTGGAAGAGGCACATAGACCAGCTGTTGGCCACCTGAGTTCCTCGTCAAAATTAAGAGGGAGGTCCTGATATATACATGACTGGAAATATGCTATATTTTGTTATGTCACCGCCTACATTTCATTTGTCATTAACATATTGGTAACATATTGCAAATATATGTGTTTTTCAATATAGCGAATATATATTAATTATTTTCTGGCACACTGTGTGGTCGCCGATTTTTGCAACATTCTGTACATTTATGTAAATAGATTACAATAAGATTTATTACTTTTAGATACACATACTAGAAAGGCTAACAATATTTAAGTATTAAATCTATGGTTGCAATTTACATAAAGTATTTAAAACCCCTGAATCCAAAACTAAGCCATGCTTGTATTATGGCGTTCAGTTTTCCCTGAATACTACCGTTTATCTGTAATTGAGTGTTTTGTCTTTAATAGAGTGTGTAATAGACGTTTTAAATCGTATTTAGAGTGTAGAACTTATCGTATGGATTTCTATGTAATTTTTCAGGAGGAAGATAAAAATTGGAGTAAAATATAGTCATCATAATAATGTTAGTAATTTGCAATTTAATGAGTTATTATACTTCTTTCAGATGTTATATTACTTATATGCTAAAATTAATAATATATTAAGCAATATATAATAATAATAATATATTAATAAGTTTTGCTTTTACCAAAATCATTAAAAACAACCTATGTAAAAATGCGCGCTTTTCATGGTAAGGCGACGAAATGAATATGTATTACTATAATAATTATGCACAGCACATTAACATCGTGTAGCCAACATATCGCATAAAAGCAATGCCAGTTGCGTGAACACATGTACGTACACATTTATAGAAAAAATGTTCTTATTTAATATCCGTACGGGAATAAGCATGTAATCATTTACGTGCACAACCAACATTAGCTTTGATGGATGGTCAACTTGGAACTGGTTAAGACTGGAATGTTGGGTAATAACTAGAGCCAGTTGTGAACGAACTAGTCTGGCCGATTGAAATGGTATGACGTAATCGCTTAGATTTACTGGTGTCAGTAGATAATGTTTTCACACTATAAGATA